TCAATTCTGCTTTAGTCGAGATTATTGATTCTGCTTTGATCCTATGAGAGGGAATACCTGATTAGGTCAATAGAGCACCATAGATTGATAGTAGTGGATCGATTGCTTTAGTCGAGGGTTGATTCACTGCTTTGTATCGATTGAGAACCCCTTTCGATAGAGGGAGTCTAGTTCAGAACGCCTTGATCAGTTGTTCTAGAGAAGGATACGTCCCTCTAGGCAATTGACTCAAGAGGGCCTTGTTCCTTTAGTCGAGACTCAAGGTCTAGTCAAGGATTCTCCGCATTGTGAATGAAAGTGAAACAGGTTAGAGATCATCAATCGTTAATCTGGCTAGTGGCTAGGGGGAATCATACCTAAGTGAGTTCCCAACCTGTAATTAGATTAACTTTAACTGTAGTTTGCTAGAGTAGTTTTAGTTCTTTCATCTTAATCTGATTTGCTAAATAATAAACTGAAGCTGAGTAATAGTAACTCTAGAGACCCGTGGATTCGATATTTATCACTTGAGCCACTATACTGCAGTCCCTTTCATTGGTTACACTTGGCCTTTGTTAGGTGTTGTGTTTTAGAGCAGTCAGAGGCACAAAGTTGTTAGAGCGTTCACTAAACCGGGATAACGTGCATGGCCATAAACGCACGGCCTATGAGAGAATATCACTCAATGAAAAGATCCGGTGTGCTACATTGTCTGAGATAGGGTTCAAGACTACGAGTCACCCTTATGAAATCGGAAGTGTAACCACTATGCTAAGGTTCAAATCTTCGCGATACCTTAGCTTATGCCCGATCTTATGGAACTGTTGATGCTCAGAGATAGTTTCAAAACTATTCAAGTGGGGGATTGTTGGGATGAATAGCTTTGAAAAGCTATAAATGAAATTCCTAATTAATTATCCAGTATTTTCCCATAATACATAAATAAGATGGATAATTAATAAAAGGAATATTATGGAGATCATTAGGAATAATTATCTTAATAGATTATATTTTAATTATAGGAGTAATTATCTCCCTAATTAAAATATGACTTATTCCCAAAGAAAGAGGGAATATTCTGGGTTTTCTGCTCCTATAAATAGGAGACGCCCCAGACCCTCTAAACACACCTTAGAGAGCAGAAACACGAGATAGAGAGTGAGTTCATAGAGCTCCGGTTTTCGCACAAAACCGATGAGCAACAATATTAGAGTGGTTGTTTTATCCTGGAGGTGACCGGCTGATAGTGTGTCGTGCGCAACGAAGGCAGTGCCGCGAACGTCTTAAAGAGAACGACCTAGTCCGCGACTCAGCCAGATCGGTAACCCTAATTTTTCCTGTTCAGTTTCTAACACTTCATACTTGCGTGAAGCTTTCAATATTGGTTTTAGCTGAATTTGTATGGTTGATTTTACTACCTTGATTATTGAATTGATATATTTTCATCGATAAAAATATTATATTATATTATATTATATACGTATGTATTGATGTATTTGATGTGTTATAAATTATAGTGTTTGGTACATGTGATTTTATTTTTAAGACTTAATACCAATAATTGTCTCGTATTTGACCCTATATGTCCATTGTGTCCCTGTATTTTCAATATTAAAATTGGTAATCTCAATTAATTTTGACTGCCAGTGGTTAACGGTGAGCAAAATGACCATTGACATGTCGTTGACTTGAAATTTTTTTACCACGTCAACTTGAAAAAATAACTATACTTCCTCACACTATTAATTAAAAGATTCAAGACCAAAACAAGAGATAACATATTAATATATAAAGTTAAATACAATTTACTGTTTACTAAGGTTTTCAGTTCCTTAACCGTTCTACTAATTTGTACACGTTGAAACAATTAAAAGAATACACTTAACAAAACACTCAGCAAAATAGGGGAGGGACAAAACTGGGTTGTCTCATTAGGAGCAGCTAATGATCAAGAAGCACGGAGAAACCAAAACAAAGGAATCAGGTATTACACAAAAGTAAAAATTACATAGAATAAATTTTTAACTTGAATGAAGAGATATAAATTTTAAATTAGAATTTGAATAGATGAATCAACTATGGACTAGTCGGTTATGTGTGATTGGCCATTGAACCGCAAAAGTTGCTATGATTTAAGTGGCTCACTGATTCAATATTTTTTCCAAAAAAATTAACGAGACCACTAAAAAATATATGGGATGTACGAATTTTTAATTAGTACTTCACGAGATCTGTAAAATCATGAACCAATTACAAAATTGGTTCGGTTCGTGGATTTGATCAGCAACAATGAACTAGCCAGTTGTTTATGACTAGGCGGTGAACTGCAAAAATCGCTCTGATTGAAGTGGTTCATTGGTTCAATGTTGTTTCCCAAAAAAAACTTAACTAATAAAAAATATTATGGGAGGCAGAAACGTGAAAAGCTAACTAATTACCATAAAAAATTATACTTCTCCATTTCATTTTTGAATAGCCCATCATCTTCCTTTATTTAGTTCCACATTTGGCTTCTTCGTCCAACATTACTTAGTATATTATATATATGTAATCCAATCTAAAGGATCCATAAACGATTCACCAACCGCTCGATAAAAATTAATTATTGAACCATGAACAACTGACTTTTTTAGTTCAATATCCAATCCCACTAAAAATACAAAGATTTTTCTAAGTATGTTATCATTTTCCTCCTTATTCTCTCCCTGAAATTTGTAAACATGTAATTTTGAATAGAATTTCATTTTCTATTTCCTTTGCTTCTCTTTAGAGCTTTCCTTCCCACTTGAGTTGGAATCTTCTACAATTACACACAAAACTAAGACTATGTTTAAGCTTATCAAAGAAAGAATCATCACTAAACAATTATCATCCTAGAAAAACAATTACTATCGTAAATGCACCACTGTAAGGATCAAATATTCATGAGCAACCATAACAAGCGAATAATTGCCCGCCTCGCGGCAAAGCGCGATTTCCTGTCTAGTATATATAAAAAAACAATCCATGACCTCGTATCTCTTTTTCTCTGTCCTTTTTTCTTCTCCCAATCTAGGAATAGATATTGGATCTTCCTCGATTCTTCCTCGAATGTAACGGATGAATGAGCCATGGCAGCAACATTTGAAGATTGAATCAAGATATTGGGAAGCTCCTGCTGCGAATGGAGGAAGAACGCAACTGAAGATCACAGGTCCTTGAGAAATGACGACGTTTTGCTCTAATCCGGAAACGTCATTTTGGTACAAAACGCATGTCGTTTCTTTAATAGAAGACAAAGACGAGCCAAAACGATGTTGTCCTTCTTAGTTGGTTATTTGCAGTAATTAAGTGTTGTCTTGTGGACACTTGGCGCTTTGTTATTTGTTGTTTTCAATTAGTTAGATTATTACTGTAGATTAGTCGTTAAGTTCTTTGTGTAAAGATTGTTGGGTATATAATGAGAAAGCAGAAAACGAAGCTTTCAAGTTTTGAGATCCTTCATCAAAACTCTCTCTCTCTATTTCTTCTCATAGTATCAGATCCTGGTTGGCTTTTCTGAATCAGATCTTCAATTTTCTACTACTAATTTCCATTTTCTCGATCCAAACATGTCGATTCCTGAAACGCAAGTGGATGGGTTTATAGCTGATGAAGTAGAGGACGATGAAGTTGCTTCAGCAAATGACGCCACTCTACCACGAACCCCTCCAATAGGAAACGCTCGACGTCAGATGGATCAATTTGTCCCCCCTATGATTCCTCGCTACGAGGATCCCTATCTCAACCCTTACTAACTTCCTCCTCACGATGGTGGCTTGACAACCATCATCTCTATGAAGCTCACTGACCAGAACTACAATCTCTGGAGTCAAATAATGGAGCTAGCTCTTAGCACTAAAAACAAGTTACAGTTTGTGAAGGGGTCGATTCCTGTACTACAAATGGGAGACCCAAATTGGCATTCATGGCATAGATGTGACAGTGCAGTCCGTTGTTGGATCTATAATTCACTTTCAGATGACATTGCTAATAGCGTTGTTCCTTACAAAGTTGCAAAAGATGTTTGTGGGCTAAGCAAAAGAGGTTGCATTTCCTATAAGCACCTCAGTTAGTTCACACGTCTTTGAATTGATACATGTTGAAATCTGGGGGCTATTGAATATTGTTTTCAGAGATGATTTCTCTTACTTTCTCACTGTTGTGGATGACGCGAAGGGTCCAAAGGACACGTAGCCGGGAGCAAGCCGGATTTTAAAATTCAAGTGAAAGAGTCTGCCAAAAAATGTGAGCACTCCTGCACTATACGGCTTTTTGGCGTCCCCCTATCTTGTCTTGCTGGAGGCAGATTTTCTAAAAAAAGCGGTTGATTATTCGGATTGGTTCTCGCATCCCTGTGCCCAAAAGGATGGGCGAGTTCGGTTTGAGTCTTCATCGATCGGGTGGATCTATATGCTTCGTTGGGTGAGACGAGGTGTAGCGCAGTCTGGTCAGCGCATCTGTTTTGGGTACAGAGGGCCATAGGTTCGAATCCTGTCACCTTGATGTGGGGCCTCATCCTCCAGCTCCCTCGGGTTCGACGAAGCATTTTCTTGATTAAGCCATCGGTCAATCCAAGATCCAGTCCAGCCTCTCCCGCAGCAGTTAGCTCTTTTCCCTGAGCTGAGGGTATATAGTAGAGCAGTGTGGGTTTTCTCCTTAAATCAAAGGCTAAGGCCAGACCATCTCTTCAATCCTTTTAGTCTTATGGTTAAAAATCAATTTTTTGTTTCTGTCAAAACCATAAGAACATATCAAGGCCAAGAGTTCCACATGACTGAGTTCTACTCAGATCATGGCATTGTTCATTAAATGAGTTGTGTTTATATGGCTCAACAAAATGGGAGAGTTGAGAGGAAACACCAGCATTTGCTTAATGTGGCCATATCTTTGAAATTTCAATCAAGATTGCCTCTACAATTTTGGGGAGATTTTGTGCTTCATGCAGCTTACCACAATAAAAGGACACCTACCCCCATTCTTGATCACAAAAACCCTTTGAAGTCCTACATAAAGTTCCACCAGATTATATGAATCTCAGTGTGTTTGGTTGTCTTGCTTATGCAACTATTGTAGAGGGTCATAAGTTTAAGTTTGATCCCAGGTCCAAACAATGTGTTTTTCTAGGTATCCCTAATGGAATCAAAGGGTACAAATTGTTAGATCTTGATACAAACAGGGTCTTTGTCAACAGAGATGTTGTCTTTCATGAGCAGACTCTGCATCACACTCTTCTTCGGCTCCTTTTTCTTCTTTTTGTCGAGAAGAATCTTCTCATCTACCTTTGAGCCTGATTTGACATAATATCATTCTCCTTCTGTAACCACAATCCCCTTTGCCAATCTCTCATTCTCCTGCTGCCTTAGATACTTCAGACAGAAGTTCTTCTTCTTTTGATTTATCTGACACTCCTGCTTCCTTTTCTCCCTCACTAGTACCGAAATCAACAAAGCAAGTATTTTTTTTTCCTAAGAAGTATGATGATTTTTATGTGGGCTTGAATTAAGTCAGTTATGGTCCCACGCAGATTGTTCCTCCATATTTGGCTCATCTTTCACCACAACAACAACACTTCGCTATGATACTTGCAGCGGCCTTTGGACCTTCTTGTTATGCTGAGGCTGCTCAAGATCCTAGATGGAATGCAGTCATGATAGAGGAATTGAAAGCACTGTCTGGTAATGATACTTGGGACATTACTGACTTGCCAGGGGTAGTTAAGGCAGTTGGCAACAGATGGGTGTTCAGGATAAAGTATAACCCTTATGGTTCTATTGAAAGATACGTTTAGTTGCTAAGGGATATACAAAGGTGTATAGAATAGATTACTAGGATACTTTTTCCCATGTAGCTAAGTTAACATCTGTTCCATGATTCCAACAATCCTAATTGCCCATAGGTACTGCCACTGACTTATTTTGATACGACAAACCTATTAGTGCATGTTCCACATCTTAGTGCATGTTCCACCTCTCAAATTTTTCCCATGACAGTACCCGTTTGACTGGGTTTTCACTTCTAACTAGAATCAATACCCACGGCTACGCCGCGGGAACTTAATTTATAACAACATGATCATATGGTAGCTAGTTTAGGTGACGACTAATTGGTGGTCGTTGTGCTACTGACTACGATGTGAGTTTAAAAGTTCTGAATGTGCCAAAGTTTATGAAATCATTTTGATATCATTTAAACTAAAATAGGAAGATTATCAAGTAAACATCGAAAAACTATATGGATGCACCTATGACTTGGTAAATCCAATTCCTCTTGTTGAAATTCTGATTATTGAACAAATTAAACATGTTTTATTCATTATAAAAGGAAAATGAACAGGACGAACGAACAAACAAACAAAGACAACAAAATATTAAAAACAGTTGGTCAATGGATCTCTTCTTCACCTTCATAATTGGTGTGACTTGTTTCATTTCATAGCATTCTCTGTGTGCTTGGGAGCTTCCACCTGAATTTGTCCTTATTAAGCTCAGTTCTGATTTTAAACCTACCTAGAAACCTATTCAAACTGCAACAGCCAGGAATAGCCATACATTAGGCAACATTAAATCCAGAACTGACAACATAAGAATTTAAACATCTGCCTTTAAGCAAGGGAAACTCAAAACTCGAGCTTGGCCTTCAATACCTAACATTAAGATTTTGCTGGCAATTCTCCGAACAGAAATCAAGCGAAAACCTCAAATTAGAACTGTATGAAACTTCTCTTAGGGTCGCGGGAATCCTATTGCTTACCATTTCCCTGCCTCTCGGTTTGGAAGTCGAGATAGGCGGAAGCTTTTGATCCAAAGGCATGCTGCTACTTACCATTTCCTACTTCTCTGTTTGAAACTCGAGAGGTGGAAGCTTTTGATCCAAAGGGATCAAAACTTGTCGTAGGCCATTAAGTACGGCTTAAATGATGTTCAACTTCCCTACAAAAAATCTTAATCCCATTTTGGGCATAAGAATCACATCGAGGCGGGCCAAACAACTATGATGATTGTCAAAAGTAACAAACCTGTGAATATGAGAATCAAAATCTCCACCAGTCAAAGATGAAGAAGCAGAAAAAGTGTCGGTGGTTGAGCATGAATACTCTATGGATAAATCAAATGAACTGGTGGATGGTGTGAGCAGATCAAGCTTCTCTCACTTCAACCTTTGAACCAGCTTATTGTAACTTTGATATTAAAAAAAAAGACTAATAATTGTTCATCAAATCAAAAGTTAGGTATGCTTGTTGTTATTACCTCAACCTGCCATCATCAATTGCAAAGAAAAGCCGCAAAGATACATATCAAACTACCTAGCAACCTTGAACCAAACTTCAACCCATATGCATAGTTTGTCTAATTTCAACAATTCTTAAATCACTCCAGAATCTTTCAGCTACCTCTTCAATCTCATAAAGCTCAAGAATCATAAGCAGACAAAAAAGTGATATCATCTTTGTCCCATTTTTTACTATATTCTGAGTTCCTTCAATTTGAAGGAAGGATATGTCAACCCAGATGCCGAGTTTGAGTAATCCAAACCTTTGTCAATCAAAGCCTGAACCTTTCGGCAAGCTACTCCATGTGTCCAAATTTTCATAAACCTCAAAACGCATAAGTAAACAGAACCTAGATCAAAGAGTATGAATTCAGAAAGTTCATATTTAGTGACAGTGAAGAGAAGTGGTGAAAGGATTGTCAGTCTGTAGTTTACCGCAGAGCCAAGGCCGATGGAGTGTCCGTTGAGAGCGGATGGTAGCTTGCGACAGCGACGGTAGGCCGTGGCAGGTGTACATGAGGGATCCATGAACAACAGAGGATAGGGTGGAATCCATTAAAAGTCACTCTCTTCAAAAAGGTTGCTGATGGGTTGTTGTTTGTGACTACAGTCTGGAAATCTCCCCAACATCAAAGATGCAACTCTACAACTTCTTATGATACAATTGTGGGCAGCTGATAAAGGTTACCCATCCTGGCAGAACTGTAGCCAGTGAGAGAAAAATCAATCAAGCAAGCAAGTAACTTAACATTTAGAGCAAGTCAAAAGGAGAAGAAGGATAATGACAAAGTGGGATGATATGGAAATGAAGAGCGAGTTCATCTACAAAGACAGTTAAACAGCTGACTTGCAAGGCACCAACATCATTTGCCTGGTGGGCAGATGTAGTTGAGGCCATGAGACTAAGTTGGAAACAAACAAAATACCAAGAGTAAGATATTACAACTTGAATGATTGAAACACCTCTACATCAGAATTTACTTTCACATACAGAAACCTTAAAAGATTAGCACTTGTAAGAGTCTTGCTTGGTGGACTTAAATCTTTCAAATGGAAAATAGCAAGCAAACAAACATAGAGGTCATTAGCATACAAATCTACGCAAGAAAACTTGAAAGATGCACAACCGAAAAAACTGAAGGGGAGGGCAGCAAGCCGACATTAGGAGCGTAGCGGAGGAAAAAATATGGGAGTTAAAGAGGAGAATCGTACCATGTGGCAGGGTGACCGTCAATCCAGCAAAGAACCGTCACTTAAATTAGTCGGCAAGCTGGAGTGGCGTCCATGGGTGTCGGCTACGACTTCTGAATTTAGGGTTGTTAGTCCGCTTACATGGGACTTGGGAGTGGATTCCCATATACTCTTCCCAGCGTGTTTGCCCTTCTTCTAATCCCACTCAAGATCTATAAACTCTTCATCGTCGTCAGCTCCCCATCTTCATCCTCGAAGTCGTACTCCACATCCGACGACATGATGTCATCCTCACCGAAACAACGACGCTGTCGGTGATGATCCATGCCGCCATCAACGTTGTCTTGAGATTGAGACAACCTCAGCATCTTCGTGACTGAGACCGAGGTAGAGGAGATGGTGGTGCAGGTTGACTCCAACGGCGATGGATTCATCCGCCGACGACTGCCCTTGGACGCCGCATAGATAGGTCTCCACATCATATCACTGAGGTCCACGATGAAGCTTTCCTGAAGACATCCAGAACCAGAACTATTTCGATTGCCAAGATTCACGGTGGTCAGACAATGGGAGGAATAGAGGGTTGCTAGAAAAACGGGTGTGGGAATCGAGAATAGATCAACATCGGAGTTGTAGCTGAAATTGAAATGGTCAAACCAGAGAACAGAAGTCTCTCTTAATCCATAGGAGTAAGGTGAGTACTGTACATATGCATGGGCATTGGCGTGTGAGATGAGAAGTGAACCGGACCTGTGAGATGACTGAATTTGAGAGTGGGACTGAGGGTAAAGGGATGGGATAGGGAAGTATGAGCTGCTGCGAACGTTTTTCCAGAGCTAGCTGAAGATGGTTTTTGTACTAAACGACAAATATTGAAACAGTACCGAAAATTTTGGGCCAATAAAGCGTACCCAGCTTTCATATATAAAAGAATACTCGATGGATATTTTACCAGATTCTTTTAGTGCACTGACTGAGTTGGTTTTGAGATTAGAAAACCCCAATCTAACCCGACCTAGCAGCCAGTGTTAAAGTTCGTCAGCTCACCGCTCAAGCAAGGAGGCAAACACCAGAAACGTACATTACAAACAGCATGTTCCTATTCTGAGCGCTTAACGTATAGTTTTTATTAAATCAAAACTAGTGTTAGAACACCCCAAAAGTTCATATCTACCTAGCAGTGAAGATGAACACACTTGGAGAAGATGGTGGCGGCCACTCTACAACAACAAACTCAACCGCTCATACCTCATCTTCCCCCAACCTTAGTACCTTACTACAGTTGTCGTAGTTAAGTATACCGAAAAACTAGCACAAGCACCCGGGTGGACAAACTAGTGGATTTACAGCAGATAGCTCCAAGTGCAGGAGGTCAAACCGAGTTCAAGACTCGGGTTGCTCGGCTTTCAAAGGACCGCCCGTTGATGTTGCATGGTTTCCATTCTGAAGGTTGAGGCTGTTAGCCACTATGGAATCACTCACCAGTCCAACATCAGCACCATCAAATGCAAGTGACATTTTCGCCTTGCGGTTGCTGGATGAGCCAGAGAAAAAGGGTCGATAGCAAGTTGGAATTAGTACAGTGAGGAGAAAATATATGATTTTGGAAGTATGACCGGAAGCAAGCAACGTGAGGGGTTACCCATTCAATTTGTTGTTGATGGCAGCCAGGTCTTTGGATGGGCTCTGATAAGCGTGAGTGCTCTCCCCGACGCAAGCATAGAAACTTTTGGAAGTATGTGATATCAAAGCATCCATCTACATGCATAAACAGAAGTTTATAATATGGTCTCAAGCAGTCCATCCAAAATACGGATCAAGACCCTCAATGAAATCAGACCAGCATTCATGGTTCAAGCACTGAATGAAGGACTTGCGACCTGATCGTTCCATAATACAATGAAGTGTAACTTAGGCAATTACGCTAATGCACATCAGGGAAATGTTAGTACCTTCGATGTTCGTAGTGGAGAGACGTAGACATTATGAACTGCTGATATTTTCTTTGGGGACATATCAGGGAGACTTGGAAATGGACATACTTTAGGCGATGGGCATTGACCTGCTCTCCCACCAGAAAATAGAGAATGCAAAGAAATGAGAAACATCTAACGGAACAGAAAATTTGCACTTCTGAATGAAGCTTCTACGAAAACCTACCATCTTTTTTACCGTTAACCTCGGTCTCTTGATCAGCTTTTGTACTTGTTCCAGCTGAACTAATTTCTGAGAACAGAGGTTTGGCAACTGGGACGAAAAATTCATTGTAAAATGTAATTACATCTACATGATCCCGCACCGTCTTCTGTTACAAAACCATGCTAATTGTTACTAGACATGTCGATTGAAGTAAGACAAAAGAAGATAGCTATGAACAAAGAACATACTCCATTGTGGCGTGCTGTTGGCTTGTCAATGAATACACTGCGAAATACATGTTGCTTACACTGTGGCTGCTTCTTATAGTTGTAAATTATTTCCCTAAAAGTCAACTCTACTTTTGATATCTGCAAACAGAGATCGAAATATGAGGCAAAACGAAATAAAAAAAAACTTCCACTAGCTAATGCAACGGCTGCCAAACCTTAGCAATTCCATAGAGACAACAAAGGAGGATTTGGTCAATGTGGCGATTAAAGAAGAGAGATGTCCGTTGAATGAGTACTTGCTGAAATAGACGGTACACATCCTCTCTTATGTGCTGTTGCGATTGTTGTAGCCTTTCAATCATGCCATTGATTCTGACAGCAGCCAGCTTATTGATCTACGGGAACACCATCATAAGAAACAGACTTAGTCAGGAATTACCCAGTAGTTATTTCTAGAAAAAGCAACAGGGAAGAAGTATATGACTGATCAAACAACTCAATAGTTTAAGCATTCCATTGTGATCAATAGGCCAATGATCGACTTAGGTAGATATATTAGCTACTCTGACTTAAGCAAGGTATACCCCTATTACCTTGCCGAAAAATATGTTGATCGCTGTTTCGGCGCATGTTTCACCTCCTCTTCCAGGACTTGGACGGGTTGGACTAGGACAATACCAACCAAAGATTTGTCAGAGAAAAAGAAGAGCAGTAACACAAATCCAAATAGATAATTTACAATGAACAATAATTACCTGGCAAATGCAGATTGCAGTGCTGGTGGTGGCAGCTTTGACTTGAGGTTAGTGAGGGCCAGCAAACGATCTTTTACTGGTGACGTAAAGGAATTCCGATCTACTAAAACACTCCTATACTCTGTGCAAGGTCTCTTTGGAGACCTAATGTCACCATTTTGACCTGAAATGAAGTTAAATGGACGTCAGGTTGACCCACTACAAGCTTCTATGCACCTAACTGGAAGCTAAGGGAACAAGAGAGAAAAACCTTACCTGCAGAACTCTCATGCTTCTGCATAGAAGGAATGGGCGGCAGGCCTGCTGAAGAAATGTTCATATGGATGGCAATCGCATCCAGAGATGGCATGGGCTCTGCCAGTAGCCCAAGGCGACTGATATCAGCAGAAAGTCCAGGTCTTGCAACTGTCAGAGAATTGTACAATGAAGAACCCTTTTCCCAGACCATACTCTCCAGAAGTCGTTCTTCCAAGGAATTTAAATGCCGCCTCAATTCCCTAGGAAGAGACTCTTCATGCCTAATGAAACTTTCTATCACCTTGCTGAGATCAAAAGCAGTAATGCCAGTTCTCTCAAGCACAGCAGGAAACAACATCGTAACAGTCTTATGTGTCGCCAAAACTAGTTCAGCAGAGCATGCAAGCATGCATCTGTGAAACCTTTCATTGGTCAACAATGATGTCAGATTAGCAACATGTAATATCTGGGCCTCTGCAGTGCACATTGCCTCCAAAACCCTGTAATATAGTTTGAGAGCTTCTAATCTTCTTTGCTCTGCCCATATGTTGTCCATGAGATTAGTAGTCTGAAGATTTCCAGTCAAACAACGCTCTCCCAGAGCACTACTGGGGAATATAGCTTCTAATATTATCAGTGCTCTTCGAACCACCTCATCTGTCACATCCCTATCACATGATGCGAGGAAGCGCCCCAAAATAGGCGATGGCTTAGGTGCCAATGGAGATACTACAGTTCTGAGCCATTTTGCTGTTGTCATTGCTGTGGTTACAGGTGTTGGAGCCATCCTAGAGACTGCACCATAAAGACTTCCAGGTGCAGGAGAACGGAAAGGAGAAAGTGGACTTGTCATCGTTCTTGCTGGTGAGGATATTGAATCAAATTTTCTCTATAGGAAAACAAATTCATAAGCAGTAATTAGCGAAGATCACACTACAAAAAGACAAAGCACTCAAAATGCTAAGTTTGTACACATTTGTTTCAAGGAATGAGCACTCTACAACAACAAAACCTCACCTTAGTTCCCAATAAATTATTGTTGGTACCACCAGATACGCATCCTGAACCAAGTAAGCTATCATCCTCATTGATGAAAATTCTCTCATCCAGATCACCATTCTGATAGAGTGCCTCTCCATAATCCTTCTCCAATGCATTCAAACTTGTTTTCAGAGATGATTCCTCCATCAAACCTTCATAATATATCAAACCCTCTGCAAGGATGAAAAGCAGCCTTTAATAAGTATCATAATAATAAGAACACACTATCACCCTCCTTATACCCTAAGAATCCAAGTTATAAATAAATAAACATCATATTACCTGTATCTATATCTAACAGGCTTTCAATTTCACACTCAGTGGCCACCTGAGGTTTTCCCTTCAAGATCTCTAATATTAGATTATTGGTCTTCTCCATCATTTGCTTAAGGTCATCCTCCGATGTCTCATACTTCTGGCAGAGGGATGCAAGCAAATGAACGCCCTTGACGCCTCTCTTAGCTGATACACACAAACAAGATTAGAGACCAATTCATTTAAAACTAAAACATGCAGATCCCTGGGAAATAAGAGGAATTAGTGGTAAAAACAAAAGAAACAAGAAAGAGAAGATAATCACCAAACCACCCTTCATCCTTCAAGCTCAACTTCCTGAACTGAACCGGGAGATGGATAATCAAAATAGCCTGAGGATGTATATGAAAAGGGTAAGAAACACATCCACAAATCATAAATACAGTAGTCCTATGCAGGTGGCAGATAGCTTCTATACAACTCAGTAGGATTACGGAACAAAAATGATGAATTATATTGATAGGCATGTAAACTGGCAAATACAGTCCAAGTATCAATGACAGGAGAAACAGGTGAAGGTAACTAACCAGCACAGAGATCAATCCATTTATGGAAGTCACTAGATCCTTAACATGACCCAGTGCATGCACTCGGAGGGACAGAAATAGCAACCATCCAAAACGATAATAGTCTGAGGAAAATGCCACGGCACTGGAAACTGCTGGTTCCTTGTCGCCGCCATTTGTATCATTTAGCAAAAAAAGTTCCTGATACGCACGCTTGTAATGCCTATGAACATCAAACAGAACACTTTGTTACTCATCTAAAGGCTCCAAATAGAACTTATAGACTAGAAGATACCAACAACAGAACAATCCTTTTTGTAGAAATTACCACCAGTAACCCACATAAAGTACATTCACAATCAGATCCCAAGGAAAAAATTATCTGCCTTTGTGAACATGTTTTTATGCTTTGCCCAACATATGATATTCTAGCTTCGTTAGACACTCAATTAAAACATACTGAGAGTATATGAACCACCTAGCAACAAATGAAGGACAAGGACCCACCTGCTTAAAGTGCTTATGTTGACAAAATTGGCTTGGGACTCCTTTGCCTGAAAAATGGATAAACAGAAAACTTGTGCTAAATTTTTTAAGCATATATAAAAATAATGAATACTCTAGATACCATTGCTTGAACATGTAACCATGTTTATCAGCAGAATGAATACCTCGAGTCTCTTCTCCCAGTCCGCACCATAGGTATTACACAGCACAGGGCCAGCTTTCACGACAAATTGAGGCAGTTCTTTGAAAAATTCCAGAAAGCTACTCAATAAAGCAAGATGATAAGAACCATAAGCATATCAAAATGTTAAAGCTACCCAACTTAACTTGCACAAAATGAAATCATACTTCAGCTTCACGGATCTCAATATCCGGCACAAAGTCAATCCACTGTCATGGCACTGGCGGTGCTCCTTATCTCCAATGGACTTCGACAGCTTCTTGACAGAGTACAGTACAAATGCAGACAAAAATCTTTCTACTTCTTCAGGCTACAATATTAAAGGATTTATTTAGCTCTTTCAATTGCATCCACAGATATATAGGACAGCAGATGTATCACTTAAAACACATGGTCAGAAAAGTTCACCGTTCCGCTTCCAACTGCTGAAGTAGTAGACGACATGAGATGCTTTGTCTCTTTGAAAAGCTTAATGGCCTCCGTATAAGCATTCTCATCCAATGATAGTACACTCTGTTACCACATGACAATACAATCAGAAAACATTAAACCTAATAACAACAGAAACACAGTCACAAAGTAAACAAGCAAGAAAACGAAAAGACAGCCTATACACCAAGGTCAAAGGGTTATTGTTCAAGCTTTTATACCTTGCATAGCGACATGAACCGGCCTTCAACAGCATCAGTTTCCCCTCCATTCCTCTGAGGATCAATGGACATTGCAGTTGAAGACGATGTATCTTCCATATCTGAAGCTGGTGGACTCATTTAGAAAGCCTATGAGAAAGCATCATTGGCATTAGACAAGCAAGTTGCAGTCAAACAAAACAGAACTTTGAAACTAAAGCTAATGGAATAACAGTCCCAAGGACAAACTAAACTCAGTGCAGCAGCAGAACACATTAAAGAAAGAAAGACTTCAGAAGCTATAGAGCTGAAAGTGATGTGAGCAGGCAACTCAGCTATAGAGAACACACAGCACATACCGGCTACAAAGAAATGACACAATTGCCAACTATGGATAAACCCCAGAAACTCAAATGCCAAGGGAGTATTTCAAATACATAAGAAGTGTTTACACTTCCATTAAAGGACTAGGAACAGAGTATAAGCCGCAGCTCAGTCAGCAACTAACAAGGTCTAATCTTTGACTCTATCCTAGTCAAACAAATCCAGACCCGAGAAACAGCCTCTAACCTAAACAGCAAACCCTGAACCCTACTTCAAAAAAGATGTGGAATTTCAGTATTAACAATTACGTGAGACCAACCCAATGATGGCAAACGCACAAATTGCGGGAACAGAATACAAATCTAGAACCAGCGAAGGATTAAAAAAAGAACTCACGGGTTGTCGGTCGGCTGCAGATCTCCAGAATCAAGAATGCCTTCAAAAATCTCAGCTGATTTCCAGATCCATCCGCAACAAAACCCTAGCTCCGAAATCGCACAGAAACAACAGCAGCCCACCGATGCCGATTCACAACAACCGGCAAAGAAACGACCGTTTTGCTCCCGAAATTTCTTCCCTTTTCCCCTCGCCGACCTCTCTCTCTCTCTCTATCTCTAACAACGGAAGCGTCTTTTTGGGGGGAGAAAAAGAGATGCCTAAGTTTCTTCTCTCTATTCTATTACTAATAGCGCGGGAAAATCCAACATGGCCTATGGGTCTACATACATGACATGCCGCCATACATACATTGCCAGCCAATCATAGGCTGCCACGAAGCCCCAGGTAGGTTGTTTTACCGCCAAAACTTTGCCACCGTTACGAGATTCGCTTCCGAGGTGAGTTTCGCCGTTACCACGCGGATAACGTTGACGGGGTTTGTTAGACGGAGGTTTTCGTCCTCTTGGTCTCCTCGGGAATTGCGACTGAAGGCCCAACGTGTGGGTTCTGCCGTCTGCGGGAAATTGTGGGGCCGCCCTCAATAGGCTTGGCTTTGCTTTGCTTGTCGTGATTTGCTCGTGACATGTCGTTTTGTGTGTTGAAATTGTTGAACAGCAAAAGGGCAAATTGCATTCAAGTACACCAACTCTTCACTCAATCATAATCTAGCTACTTAAACTTCGAATTTGTTTTGTATGAAACCCAAGGATTTTGGGAGTTTGAAAATTAATTAGCCAGAACAATTTACAAAAATAGTACATCCAACCGATATCATCATCGTGTCATCAAAATTAGAGGTGGCAAATGGATTGGATTGGAGGATTGGTGGATTGGATTGGTGGATCCATGGATCAAATGGATTGGTGGATTATCCATGAATCCAAATGACATCCTCAACCAAGGACCAATATGTAAAATGTAAAAAATTTAGGTACTAAAATGTCATAATGAAAAATTTTAGGTACCAAAACGTAATTTTCCAATGATATTTTCCGTATAAAAAAATTAAATTTTAGGTACCAAAATGTAAAAAATAAAAATTATAGGTACTAAACCGTAATTTGCCAATGATCCATGGATCCAATCCATGAATCCACCAATCCAATTGGATTTGGATAAAATGGATTGGATTTAAATGGATTGGATTAGGTGGATATTTTTAATGGATTGATGGATTGGATTGGTGGATTGGATTGAAATTGCCACCTCTAATCAAAATATTAGCAATATGTACTATGTACTATACTTCCATACTTAACTCTACTAGTCACCAGATTTATGCTTGTTGCAAATTTCCTCAAATCAATCCACTATGATATATCATATTCTACATGAGAAATTTTACAATGCTATATAGTATTGGTGCTGTAGGTTTTTGCTTTCATGGTACAACTTAAAATTGTACATTTACGTTATGGTACAATTTCAGATTGTACCTATACTTTTGGTACAAATTCTTTTATGGTACAACTTGAACTTGTACCTTATGTGATGATACAACTTTAAGTTGTAAAGTTGTACCATAACATAATGGTACAAATTGTTTTATGGTACAACATAAACTTATACATTTAATGTTATGATACAACTTTAAGTTGTACATTAAAGCACCAATACTATATAGCATAGTAGAAGTGCTCATTCTACATATTCAACCTTTTCGTACTAATGTATTTTACATCCCTACCAGACAAACAGTGCATTCATACCTATTTCCTCCAGTTTGGTCAGGTACACATGTAAGTTTGATCCATTTTTCTTCAGTATTTATAAAATTCATAGAACCAAATATCGAATCACATTATATTCAATTTGATATGGTGTTGTCCAAACGTCAATATAGTCCGATGCGATTCGATACGGACCAAACCGGTGCAGACCCCATATTTAACACTTCTTTGGAGTTCATTTCTAAGTTGTATATATGTCCCTTGACATTTTATGTTTTTGCGATAGTCAATTCACTCTTCAATTTTCACCCCTCGGGTAGCTTTCAACTTACTTGTCTTGCAAGCCCCACATTTACCCTTTTTTTTTTTTTTTGTGTGTGTCCGGAAAACAAAGCTGCACAATCCTATCAACTTCATATCTTACTTGTATGAAATTCAGTTCTATCATCTGTGTGTACGTAGGCAACAGAGCTACAGTAGAGAGAGAGATGTTGAGTGCAAAAATATAAAGAAAACAAGTGAGCGACATGCCGTAGGTGCCACCGCTAATTGATGAAACAGATCATCATGTCTAAGATCTGGACCCTTATCACCATTCCCTTATTTAATATAACAGGTCATATAGGAATGGGATAGGAGATATGGAGATAAATGAGTGTTTTTTCCCCATAAATACAAGTGAAAAATACTTTAACCTTTCTTGCTCTGCTTCGATCTTTCTTGCTCCGCATACTTTAACCTTTCTGATGCAATGAACTTGCCCTAAAAATTCAAATGGAATATCATTTCAAAGAAGAAGAAGAAAAAAAAAACAAATGGAATAATAGTTTAAATCAGTGGTGTTATGAATAGGGGTGTACATGGGTCGGGTGGTTTGGGTTTAATCATTTTAATCACCCGACCCATGCACTACGGTTTGAGAAATATTAAATCCAAACCCACCCAAAAAAAATTAAACCTTACAATTTATTTCTAATTGGATTGGGTCGGGTTGGCGATATTTTTAAGTAAAAACCCAACCCAACACAAAATATGTAATTATTCTACAACATAAAATATATTTTATAAAGAACTAAATTTCAAATGAATAAACCAAGGTGAAAAGCATCAAATTTCACAAATGTTGTTTCATTTTTAATAAAATGTGATTTACTTCAACATATGTCTAATTTTTTTCACGATCTTTGTTAAAATAGGCTAAAAAGGTTATAAACGAATACACCCATAATATGTTATTCTATTAAAATTGTACACAAGAAAAAGGATTACGTGAATCATAGCTATATTAAATTTATGTCTAAACTTTAAACCTAAGAATGCATTAAATTAGGGAGACCATGAGAGAAAAACATGGTGAAATATCTTAATTTTAGCATAATTATAAATGACATAAATATTTTTGGATACGAACTCCTACCAATAGTTGGAACATGGGTTGGGTCGGGTTCTACGCGTTGTGTAATCCAAAATCCAAACGCAACCCAATAGAGGCGGGTTGTACAAAAGAAAACCCTCACCCAACCCGAAACCTTTGTTTTAGCGATAAATACGGGTGGGTTGGGTCGGGTTGGACGGGTGGGTCGGTTTACGGGTGTGTTTGTTCGCCCCTAGTTATGAAGATAAGTTTGTCTTGCCAAATGCTATACACTGGTTCAACGATCTCATCGCAACCTCCCCTACTATCATCTCGATTGTTGCATAATCAAGCCTATGTATCTTTATCGTAATAATATCAGCTTTTTCGTTGATGGTTCAGCTTCTGGTCCTGAAGAATGGCGTAGTAACTGATCTACGACAAAGTTGATTTCTCTGAGGGTCGTTTGGAAGTTGCGTATCTTAAATCGTTGTATTGTTATGAATCACTATGATATAAAATGCATGCATTGATACAATAGATGCATTTTGAAATTACATTGTTTGGTTGTTGAGATTATAATTTATGAATTGATTGTTATAAAGTTACTTTATAAGGAAATGTCATATTTGTCCTCCACTTTTAATATAAAACAAAAAGAACTATGGACATAATTGGAAAAAGTAAATGTGCTCAATTATTAAACCAACAATCACAACAATCTCAACTTTTAGTTGAGATTGTACAATCCATCATTTTTGTTGATTGTTGGTGGGAGCCACACAAAACAATACATGCATTGTTTTGCAACTTGACACTTCCAAACGTTGTATTGTGGACAATGCATGTATGTAACAAATACAATGCTACCAATCGCAACTTCCAAACGACCCCTAAATGTATGGAAAATACTAGAAGATACGAATGTTTGCCTCATAACATGTATCAATTTAACAAAATTCGAAAAAAATCTACTAATGTAATATATATATGATGGCTACTTCGGTGCACTCACTTTTTTGGGTGCACTCAGTGCACCCATTTCTAAAAGTGTCCATAATACATCAAATTTTGAACTTTAATTAGTACTCTCAATCTAACATGATGATATGACATAGAATCATAACAAATCAATCTATTACCCTAACCCCTTAACCTTCAATTTTGAATCCCAATGCAAAATCCCAAACTGTAAACCTAAACCCTAACCCTAAACCCCTAAATACTAAATCCTTCAAATTAAAGTAAATCTCAAATGATTTTGTTTTAATTCATGGGCTTATTGTTCATAATATCATAAGCAACAATTGATACCATTTTGACATGAATCGCATGCTCAGAATGATGATTATGAGGCGGGTGCGCTGAGTGTACCCAAAAAAGTGGGTGCGCCGAATACGCCACCATATATATATATATATATACAAACCATTATATGAACATGTTTCTGTGGTGTGACAGAAACTTTCACTCAAAATAAGTGATTGTTATATCTTAACTTTTAGTTGAGATTGTTGAATTAATAGATTGTTCTGTGGTGTGACAGAAACTTTCACTCAAAATAAGTGATTGTTATATACACAAACTTTTTATTTGATATGGCGTACACAATCAACATACCAAACATTATATTCGACAATACATATATAATATTATACACACATTCCAAACCACCCCAATATTAAAAAAATATATATAACAAAAAAAAATTGGGAACCCAGAGGAGGGACTCATATCTTGCTAAGTATTTTGCTGTAGAATCACCGTGGTGATAAACATGAACTAAGATCTCACTCAAAAGATAACATATAAATGGAGGAGAGTGATAACGAGTACATGAAGGTAGTTGGGGATTGTGAGTAGTTGGATCACAAGCATCGGAATGGCACATCCCTACGACATAATTAGACATAATCTGCTCCATTAATTGAGGTAGCTGCTGCATCACTAACTGCGGTGGGTCATTGCACCATGATCGGTGACGGGAAAGTTGTCTGTGTGACAGGGGCTTCCGGTTTCATAGCTTCATGGCTGGTCAAGCTTTTGCTCCAACGGGGCTACACCGTCAAGGCCTCTGTTCGAGACCCAGGTGATCCGAACAAGACGGAGCATCTACTGGGCCTCGATGGAGCCAAGGAGAGGCTCCATTTGGTGAGATCTGACCTGCTGGAACAAGGGTCCTTCGATCCCGCCATTGAAGGATGCGTCGGAGTTTTCCACACCGCTTCCCCTGTCTCCTTCTCTGCCACCGATCCACAGGCGGAGCTCGTCGACCCTGCAGTGAAAGGAACGCTGAACGTGCTGCAATCTTGCGCCAAGTATCCTTCCGTCAAGAGAGTGGTCTTAACCTCATCTACTGCTGCAGTTTTCCACACAGGGAGGCGACTGACCCAAGATTCAGTCGCTGATGAGTCCTGGTTCTCGGATCCAGCCATTTGCGAACAACTTAAGGTGAGTGAGTTCATAACTGATTAGTCAATTGATGTGGTAAGTTAATCAATCAAGGGTCTAACTTCATTTTCTCCGATACATTCAATTCAAGCTGTGGTACCCGCTAAGCAAGACGTTGGCTGAGATTGCTGCTTGGGACTTTGCAAAGGAGAATGGGATTGACTTGGTGACATTACTGCCTGGTTTTGTGACTGGGCCTCTGTTGCAGCCAACAATTTGCTTCTCAGTGGAGATGATTCTCAACTTGGTTAATGGTAAAAGGGGAAAAAAAATTGCTCAGTTCCCTCCCTAATCTATCTTCTGGGTTATGAACATGATTTCATGGATATGAGTATTTCAGGAAGCTTGGAGACATACCCCAACATATATTACAGGTCGGTTGACGTCAGAGATGTTGTGGAAGCTCATGTTAAAGCTTTTGAGACTCCATCGGCTGCTGGGAGATACTGCTTAGTAGGAAGCATTGCCCACTTCTCTCAAGTTTTGGGGATGATACACGAGCTCTACCCAACACTACATCTTCCTGACAAGTGTGGCTTTTTCCCCCCCTGCTCTCTTCTGTTGATGTCTCCGATTCTCATTTATCGGTTTCTAGTTGTTGAAACTTGAAAGCATGGTTTTGTGGCAGATGTGAAGATCGCAGCGGCATCATTCCGAGTCTGCCCATGTTTACAGTGTCCACGGAAAAGGCAGAAAGTTTAGGGATCAAGTTCACCCCAATGGATGTGTCTATTAGGGACACCATAGAGAGCTTGAAGGCAAAGGGCTTTCTTCAGTTCTAAATGTTGTTGTTTTGGACTATGATCCGCAAAAGTGTATCACTATTCAAATAACATACTTCATTACACCAAAAATCATATAGCTTACCTTGGATAATAGCTTGCAAATTGAGGATGGCACTAAATGGGAAAATGCATTCTAGTAGTAATGTTTTCAACCATCCGGCGGCAACACCCTAGTCGACATACACTCTGAAATCTGCAGCAACTTCCAAGTTCCAACCACTCTGAATCTATCCAACCCGGGAGCCTCAATCAGCTTTCTGAATTGACGAATCTCCTGTTCCCTTGGATGCTTCAGACCAGATAGGCACCGAACCAACTTGCTTCAATGTTTAGCCTGCTCACTTTGTTGACTTGGATACAGAAGTTGGTACACTAGGCTACTGGCATTTCTTTTAGTATCAGGGTCTCCAATTTCACCACAGACTCATGATGAAGCTAGAATCAAAGCACTCAGCTGGAGCTAGGCTTTGTTGAATCATGGGAAAAGGTTTTCCTTCAGCTCTGAATTACTTCTAGTGGATGCAGGCTTTTCACGCTAATAACAATATTTTGAATATCGATTCATGCATTTCAAGTACGACTACCCGGACACACCGATAAGGAAATCCAGAAATACAGCTTATATAAGCTTTCAGCAAGTGAACGCAAGAACTTTGAAGCCAATTACGAAACTACTGAAAGAAGTGATGAAAACACCGTCCTACTATCCTAGTAGGCGTGTGCAAGTAGTTCAAGACTCACAGGAGCATCTAAGGTAAACTACATTACAAGTCCCCACATAATAAAGCATAGAATGTCTGAATCCAAGCCAAAATTTGAGTCGCCACTCAAAAGTACATCATGGATCAACATCTTCAACCATCATCCATCACCAAGAGCAAAGACATAAAATCCATAGACAAAACAAGTAAACAAACACATTTCAAACCCGCTTTCTGTTCGATTCAGAAACTACCTCTACCTGACCGTTACAATGTCATCGATCTTCAAAATCATTCTCACACACTCTGTTGCTAGAGTTATGGCGCTGGTGCTCACGAGCAATGGCTGCACAACGTTCTCCTCCAAGATGTTTGTAATTTGCCCTTTCCTCACATTGATCCCAGCATTGATCTCTCCTTGAGCATGCCTATTTCTCAGCTCCGTCACAATGGTAATCGGATTCAGCCCTGCATTCTCTGCCAGAGTATAAGGGATGACCTCGAGTGCCTCTGCAAATGACCTCACACAGTAACCTTCCATCCCGTGCAGAACTTTGGCCCATGCACCAAGCTGCCTGGACAGCTCAATCTCGGGAGCCCCACCTCCTGCAATCAAGAATTGCTTGTTGACCAAGCATCTAATGACACAAAGTGCATCATGCAAGCTCCGGTCAGCTTCATCAAGAACCAACTGATTAGACCCACGACAAAGAACTGTGGCAGTCCTTCCCATATCTCTAATCCCAGTAATCTTCACAATCTTGCCTTCCCCAACTGAAACCTCCTCCACGAGATCAGCATAACCCATCTTCTCTTCTTTGAAATGCTCGATATTAGCAATTGGCAAGCAGTTCAATGTCTTGGTAATGAACTCGATGTCGTCTCTCTCAACATCCTTCACAACCAAGATCTTGGCTTTAGCCAAGTAATGCAGAGACAGGTCAGTGACTGCATCCCTAAGAATACTCTTCTGAATCAACAGAACATTGCAACCGGTTGCTTTGATCTTCTTGATCATTCCCAAAATGTAGTTCCTCTCTTCCTTAAGAATCCTATCCATCTGTGTGTAATCAGACACCACAATGCTTTGTTCTATATCAGTCTTTGGAGGTGATATTTGGAACTGAATCACAGCGATTTTTGCATTCTCCATCCGGGTGAGTCCACCAGAGGCATGGCTCACTTTCTTATCAAAGACCAACCCTTTAACCATCTCGGTATCATCCACAGTTCCACCTAGCTTCTTCACTATCTTAATATCCCTAAGGTCTACCAAATCAGGCTTGGCCGGATCAACTACTGACAAAACAGCATCTACAGCTAAAGGAGCCAGAAGCGTGGAGTACTGACTCACCACTTTACTGTTCAAGGAAGTGCTCGCAGATTTGATGAGCGATTCCCGATCTGATAGCTCAACAGGGACTGCCATAGCAGTTAGCACATCCACTGCCTTAACAGAAGCTTTGTGGAGAGAGTCGGAGATTACCGTGGGATGGATTCCACTAGACAGTAGCAACAGGCACTGCTTGAGAAGTGCACCGGCAATGACGACGACGGTGGTGGTGCCATCGCCAGCGGTGGTGTCCTGCGACTTGGAAAGCTCGACCAGCATCTTCGCAGCAGGCTGGAGCACCCCCATCTGGTTCAGAATCGTAGCTCCGTCGTTGGTGATTATCACCTCGCCGCTGGCCGTGGAAATCATTTTGTCCATCCCTTTCGGGCCCAAGCTGGTCCTCACCGCATCGGCAACTGCTCTGGCCGCTGTGATATTAGCCTGGCGGACATCTTCCTTCCGCTTGTTGTCGACATACGACTCCGTTTTCGAGGATCTGAGTTGGGGGACTGCTGGTGCCGCCATTGGAGTAGCAGCGTGGGGGAAGGATCTCGGAGAAGCGAAGCGAGAATGGCTATAAACCCTAACCGAGAAAATGAAGGGAAGGAGAATGTAAAACTGGAACAGAGACGAGATCTGAGCGAGCGACTATAGTTTGACGACCAGAAGGTTCGAGAATAAAAACCTTTACCTGTGCTTGTTGGGCCCGGCCCAAAAATTTACATCTGGTATATGGGCTGCTTATTCATTGGAATTACTGGGCTTTAGAATCCCGGATGGAAAGTCTTCTTTTTACTACTCTTTATTGTTTTTCGTTCACTTTCACTCTTTCAGGTCTCGCAAGATCGACAGAGTTTTGCTGGTTTTCTAATTTCACACACGCCGCCGGTCGCCGGATTTTCCTCTCTCCCAACTTCATAGAGTCATCAGTTTGAGGGAGCTGCTCTCTGTGTCGTTGAAAGCGAAGACACGGAACGGAACCGCCGGAAGTTACTTTTCCATCGGGCCTCTCTTCGGCCGTCGAGATTTCCGAAATGGTGAAATGGCCGCCAAGTTCTTTTGCGTTTTCTGTTTATAAAATTCACAGTCTTGCTTCCAGCATTCTCGATTGTTTTAGGGTTTCGCAATCTGTAGGGGGTTTATAGTTTTGAGTTTTGACTCCCTTTACTTGGTGACCAAATGCCGCAGGAAGATTTCAAGAAAGCAATCCTTCAGCCTGGGCCGCCTGAGAATTTCGCTCTTCAAACTGTACAAGAGTTCATCAAACCTCAGGTTTGTTCTTCTCGTTTTTCTGGAAAACTTTCTGGAGATTGGGTGCATGTTTCATTGGTAATGGTTTGTTACTTGGTGATAGAGGCAAACAAAATTAGTGCAAGATGAGAATCAATTGTTGGAGAACATGCTCCGGACGTTACTTCAAGAGCTTGTGGTGCGTATCTAATTTAGTTGCTTACATGGTTGATGCTGTTTGGGAGTTCTCTATGATCCATTGCCTTTTATTAGCTTGGGTTCACTGTTACAGTTGTTGACTTCAGATGTTAACCTTGACAATGGCAGTCTTCTGCAGCACAGTCAGGGGAGCCGATAATGCAGTATGGACAATCAATTGATGATGAAGAAAGTTCTCAGGGCCTAATCCCTCATCTCTTAGGTCTGTCCATAATCTTACTAGCTGTTGGTGACTTACTTGAGTTTACCCTGTACTTTTCTGCTTGACAATCGTGGATATGTCGTAATAGCATTTTTCTGTGAACTATAAGCTCTAAAGAATTGTGAGGCTGTAGGTGGTTTTAAATAGGCAGTTGTATTAAACCAAATCTGTGGAATTTGTAAATGTAGGTTTTAGCATAACTGGCGTTGGGTAGTGTATTATTAGTAATGGATAATCTGTAGCTGAGCAGTAGTGGTGGCTTCTTGAAATATAGAATCTTTCACTTGATACATGTCATTCAGACAAATCAAGGAAACAGGGAGTTCCAACCTTCATGGAACTCACTCACTAATTTTTATGCTACCAGATGTTGTGCTTTATCTCTGTCAGAGAGAACATATTGAAGGTGGAATGATATTTCAGCTGCTGGAAGACTTGACGGAAATGTCCACAATGAGGAATTGCAAAGACGTATTTGGCTACATAGAGGGTAAACAGGACATACTTGGGAAGGTATGTGTTTTTAAGAGCTGTCTGATGTTTCAGATTATATTACTTTTAGCTTTATGCAATTGATTGTATTATTAATAGAGAGGCTTATCTTATTAAATATCCACTTTATGTTCAGCAAGAACTTTTTGCTCGTGGAAAACTTGTCATGCTGAGGACTTGTAATCAACTTCTCCGCCGACTCTCAAAGGTATGTTAACTGGTTACCAAAATGTTCTCGATACATGTTGATCAGAAAAAAAATTTTGTATGGGTATTGGTATTCTGACAAGCTGCTTATTTATAGGACTGCACCATTGAGTCTATCGCATCATTATTCTGAGTCTGAAAAAAGTAGATGTCAGTTTCGAAAATAATAGGTTATTTTGATTGTCTATGTGTGACTCAGTATTCATATTAGAATCTTGGCTTTGTTCTTTTACACGTACCCTCTACTCTCTCTCTCTCTCTCTCTCTCTATCTCTCTCTCTCTCTATGTATCTATCTATCTATCTATCTATCTATCTATCTATCTATCTATCTATCTATCTATCTATCTATCTATCTATCTATCTACATTCTTCATAAGCAATGTGCAGAGTTAAAAAGGATGGTAAGAGCTATGGTTGACTTTCGTGTGGCAATAATGTTGCCCATTTGGCATAGTAGTACTCACTTGAGATATGATTTTCTAGGCAAATGATGTTGTTTTCTGTGGACGGATTCTCATGTTTCTGGCACACTTTTTCCCATTATCAGAGCGTTCAGGTACGTTATTATCCCTGCTTCATCTTCCTCTATTCATTGATTCCTTTGAGTGACCCTTTTAATCCGTTTCTTCACTTCATGTGTGCAGCGGTCAACATCAAAGGAGTTTTCAACACATCAAATGAGACGAAGTATGAAAAGGACCCACCAGAAGGTACATTCTAGCTTCAAAAAGTTTGTTATATGGTTCCTCTATCTTATAGCCTGAGTTTTTGTGCTGTTTTTCTAATCTCCGCCTTCTTTTTTAGGCATTTCCATTGACTTCAACTACTACAAAACATTGTGGAGTTTACAGGTAACAATTTGTCACATCAAAACATTTTAATGGAAACATTTCATTGTGAACGAAGGTCAGTGGTTTATATTAATCGGACTCGCAAGATGACTTGTAGTTATTAATGGATTAGTTGAATAATATTTCCCACCTGTGGAGGTTTTTTATGCTTAAGCTAAAATATCTTGCACAACTGTTCTTCCAGGAATTCTTCTGCAACCCTGCCTCCTTAACTGTTGCCCCAGCCAAGTGGCAGAAGTATACGTCTAGTCTGACGGTAAATTCTTCTCTAGAAGTTGCACTTCACAGTCTCTATTTTGCAACATTTGGCTTCAATATAAGTCCGTTGACTTTTGATTTGTAGGTTGTGTTGGATACCTTTGAAGCACAACCATTGAGTGAGGAAGAAGGAGATGCAAATAATTTGGAGGAAGAGGCAGCATCTTTCAATATAAAATATCTTACTAGCAGTAATTTGATGGGACTTGAGGTAATTGGTATTGCCATTACTGGTTATACAAACATACATGGCATGTAAGTTATAACGTATTGCTACCTATCTGTTTTCCAGTTAAAAGATCCAAGCTTCCGACGCCATGTTCTTGTACAATGCCTTATAGTCTTTGATTATCTTAAGGTAATGATTGGTAAAAGTTTCAGAATGGCGATCTATTTTTTATTTTATTTTTCCTTTTGCTACATTGCACATCTCTCTCTTGATAGTTTGATGGAATGGAACTATGATTTCTGTGTAGGCTCCTGGTAAACTTGACAAGGATGTCACTTCTGAAACTATGGTTAGTGTTATTCCTATCGAGTTTGTAAGCTTTCAGTTATCTATACCTTTGATAAAACGGCTTAATGTATCCAAATCATCATGTATGTTCATGTGTCCCCGAAAAAATTAGACACAGACACTATCTACTAGCATACAAGCCATTGAATCTGTATAGCCTTTGGCTAGTGGAACTAAGTTATCTATGCTAAATTGGTCACTATGAGCTGCGCAGAGCCATTTAACTTGTAGCATAGGTGATATTAGGACACTCCATGCATGACTCTGAAGTTCCTCAAGGATTGATTATTTGAGTCTCTCCTTGGTTAGTTTCTTAAAACTATACTATGCGTCAATGCTTTATGTGCATTCCGGGACATTATTATTCACTCTATTTTGGATGTTTCCTTTATGTTTTATATACACTGAAACCTGTAACATACGGTATTCTAGCTACAAACTCACTTCAATTTTCTTGCTCATGCCAGAAAGAAGAGATAAAATCCATTGAGGAGCGTGTGAAGAAATTACTCGAGATGACTCCTCCTAAAGGAAAAGATTTTCTTCGCAAGATTGAGCATATACTAGAACGTGAAAAAAACTGGGTATAAGCTTCCTTTTGAATCCCCCCTCCCCCTATCTTTTAGTCAGAATAAAGATGTGATATTTAATTATTCACAATGCTGGTACTTTTAGGTTTGGTGGAAGCGTGACGGATGCCCTCCATTTGAAAAACAACCAGCAGAGAAGAAATCAGCCCAGGAAGGGAATAAGAAACGGTATTATGCTCCATGTATTGATCCCTTTTTAGTTTGTTCAACCGGGGCGATCTTGTCAAAATTATGCTACCCCCTCTTCTTTAATTTTGTGCTTCTGATGCTCGTTACACACTTGCATGTTGATAAATGTGGTACATGTATGTTTTGAATCCTGCAGTAGACCTAGGTGGAGATTGGGAAACAAAGAACTATCCCAGTTGTGGAAATGGGCAGACCAGAATCCTGTATGTAGAAACTCTTCAGCCTGCTGTTTCGAATCTCTGCTTCAGTATTACTGCTTACTTTATTAACTTAACTTTTTGTTCAATTCTCAACAGAATGCTTTGACTGACCCTCAGCGTGTACGGACTCCTTCAATCACGGAATATTGGAAGCCCTTGGCTGAAGATGTAAGCTCCTCTGCCATTTTGAAACTCAAATAACATCTTCTGCTTTGGTTTCATATCCATCTTGTTGGAAGATAAAAATACTTCTATCTTCATTGTCTGAACAGATGGACCCGGCAGCAGGAATTGAAGCAGAATATCACCACAAGAACAACCGAGTAGCTATAAGCTCACCATATCTTCTCTTTTCTTCGCATCACAATGGCAGTTTTACAGCAGAGCTCGGAACTTGTCATTACTAATATAATGACGGTTTTCCGTGCAGGTATATTGCTGGAAAGGTCTGCGGTTTTCAGCAAGGCAAGACCTTGAGGGTTTTTCCAAAGTAAGTTTTGACTTTGATCTTTGTGAATTTATTGATCGGGAGTCCAATTTGTGCATCCTTCTTAGTATGAAAGAAACTTGTTGGCAGTTCACTGACCTTGGTGTTGAAGGAGTAGTTCCTCTAGAAATTCTGGCACCTGAGGTCCGGTCCAAGTACCAGGCTAAACCGAGTGACAGATCTAAGCGTGCCAAGAAGGAAGAAGTCAAGGGCGGGTCACAACCATCAGAAGAAGCTCAGGTAATTCAATTTTGCGGGGAGGCATTTCCTCTATCTTCGTGTATCTCACTCTATGGTGGCTGACCCTAACCAAACTGTTGATCAGATGGGTATTTGTCTGAACTTAATGACTGGTATAAACCGGGTCTCCATGGTTTTTTGTGGTGAATTTGATGGAAGTTCAAATCTTTCATCCTGCCTATTATGCTTTGAATTTTCAGTAAGATTTTAGTATTGAGTTATATTAACTGATTTCTGTCTCTGGTTAACTGAAAATCCTAAACTAGTTAGCCACCCTATCCTCCCTGCCTGACCTTTGTATTTAAATAGGTTGCAAGCGAGAACGACGGTGAAGGCGCTAGGCCAGTTGAAGCCTTGGCCGCACCAATGGAGACTGATGCAGCTGCAGGAACTGTGAACACTTCCCAAGATGGTGGTACTCCTCCAACAGCGGAGGAGGAACAAAAGCTTAACTCAGATACTGATGTGGGTCAAGAAGCAGGGCAACTGGAAACCGATGGACCGCTTGAACCGGACCGTGAAGCGGTAGAAACTGTGATGGCTGACGGGGAGACTGACGCAGAGGCTGATATATAAGCTGTGAGCTGAATAGTCTCTTAATCAAAGAGCCCGGACTTGAATGTGGCAGCAAAAACAGTGATGGTGCCCACTTAGGTCTCGTTTCTGAGGCGCTTGATAAGTTGCCATTGTTTTTACCGAACTGTGATGAGATAGTATGAAGCAAACATTTTGTTATGTCATTTGATGGCAGCTCCTAATACGTTCTAACATAACGAACAAAACCTTAGTGTTCCATTTTGTAGGTGATATAGTAAAAATAAGTGTATTGTTTCAATTGTAGAGAATTGTAACGATCAAGTCTTTGTATGTTTCAATTGTAGAGAATTGTAACGGTGAAATCTTTGTATTGTATCTGTTTGATTAATGGTGTGATTGTATCGATTATAGAAATTAAGAGGGAGGAAGAACTCAACTTCGGGGCTGATTGTTTGAGAATTGCAATAACGCATATGTTTGTTGCCATTAAGAACTATAATTTCGAAACTTTTTTTGACGCCTAAAGAAAGAATATGTTTAATACATGTGCTGTGGATGAACTGGTTTTACGTGATGTTGCCATTTTGGATAATTAGGTTGTGAGTAACAATGAAGTGAAAGGACAAATTATATTATGAATAATGAAACGAAATACAGGGAACACGTTAGATTTAGCATGGCAATTGGATCAAATTGGGGACAGACAATGTAAATCTATAATTTTATTTAAAGTTGTTCGGGTTTTACTCTAACTTATGCACAAAATAATCGACGACTAGAGTATCAAAATCTTACTCATAACCCGATCAAGTTCTGAGTATCCACGACCAGGAGTAATAATTTTCATTTATAATTCCAAATTAATATGACACTATATAAGTGAAAAAATTCAACAATAAATTATTAGAACGAAAGAAAATTAGTTAAAAATCACACAAATTCATAAAATATTATATATGTACAAAATATCATGTGTTAAGAAAAATAATCATCATTTTAAACAAAATATGTGTATAATTATAATCATGAGAGTTTATATTGAATAATGAGAAAATCATTCTCATTCATTATCCACAATGTTCGAATTCAAATATTATTCAGGCCCATTAAAACCCCTTTCGATTCGACTTTACCCTACCTAATTAGATCGGATTCGAACTAATATCCATAGATATAGTTAATTTTTTTCCATCTCCTCTAGTTTCATTTTGCTTCAAACTAATATCCATAGTTATAATTATTTTGCCATCCATAGTTTCATTGCCAGGGTATAAGTACACGGCTAACAAACGACCCCTAGGAGAGTTGTAACTCACTGTTTAGGCACCAACTGTTTGACCTGATTCAACAGTCACAATTCATATACTTGTAGAAGAATACAAGTGACCCTTATATCTAACGAGTACAATTGCAAAACCCACAGCGATAAACTTTAAAAGCTTGGAGAAAACCAGTGAACTGGTTGAATTGACAAGTGACAACATCCGCCAGCAAAGTCCCAGAAATATCATCATGCTTTCTGCAAATAGAACGAGCAATTGCAGAATGAATGATAACCCGTGATTAACAAGGCAAGGAAGGCATAACCAATTTCCCAGGTGAAAAAAAGTCTATTATACCTGCTGCATCGGAAGGTAGAGTTTAAATTCAGGTGGGAGTTCCTCTTCTGAGTAGAGTCGATCGGCAAAATAGATCCTCCTTAAGCGACAGTTTGCATGCACCTGAACTCGTAAAGTCTCGACGTAGTTGGTCCCATAAGCCCTCTTAGTAAAATCAGCCAGATTCAACTGTATTTGATTCCACCCTTCATCGAGTTTCAACGGCATGGTGCAAATGTATGGCTTCACCCGAGTAACAGCCTGAAGAGAGAAGTTTGAAATCAGTATGGCAGTGTTCAAAATTCTGTGAAACCGTCATTTTGTGAATATCACATAATCTCTGTAAATCTAGCCTTCTAGCTCCAACCATTCAACTCTTGCAATTGGAAAACTTCACCAGCTAAATCAAATGAATCAAAACTTTTAGGGAAGGCAAAAACTTGGAGGACATACAATCATTTCCAATGGAGAGAGCTCTGATTAACTTCCAATGATATTCATGATGGCTAAATCAGACCGAATTCTTATACAAGAAACTTCAGACTAGTAAAGTTCCAACTAACCACCTACAGGAAAAGGGAAGTTCCAACCGAAACTAACCAACACAACAATATTTGAAAACATGGGGCAAACTTACACACTTGAAAGTTAGAAGCACGGAAACGTCTCCTGACATTCTTATCATCAAGCACTTGAATCTCAAACGTGAAGTACTTCTTCATGTTCTTGACAAGCATGACCAAGAAAGGCAGTTTTATACCGAGCGTCGCATTAGGGTCAGCTGGGCATGTAATGTAAGTGGACTGGATTTTCGACCCGACGATTTCCAGCACATTGGACTGTATGTCTTCATCATGAGGCCGTTTCACATGCCCATTTGAAACTGCAAGCAGACAATGCTGCTTGGCTTAGCATTTCAAAATTCATCAGATAAGCCTCCAACGGAGAAAGAAAAGGGACAATTTGAAGCTTTTTACCTTCTTTATCCCATATCTGCAGAGGTTTGCTCCTACACAGAGAAAAATAATCAGCACATAGAAATGAAAAAAAGACCGATAATTTACGACACTAAATTAAAACGCCAGGAAACCCAAAACTCACCCGAGACTGTAGAGGATGGAGAGGAATCCAGATTGAAATGTGTTTTTGAACATCTGGATGGTGGTTTAAGCAACTCAGGGGACTGCTGCATATGACAAAAAAGAAAACAACTTCAGAAGAAATTCGATACCCAGAGCACGCGACAGTCTCCAGAGTGTTCCATTGGGTTTTTCCGGAGGTTGGAATCGAATTGAATACATTCTATCACCCTACCGATTGAAGGAAAGCGAACGCCGATACCGTAAGCTATCTAACTTCAATGATCGGAAGATCGAGAGAAGTTAGAAACCCTAGAAACTGATCGTACCTGATTTCTGCTTGAACGGGGAGAATTGACGTTCGCCGCGGGAAAGCGAAGTTAACGGACCGGGGAGAGTTTGCTGGAAATTGGCAGAAACATGAGAGAAACGTCTTAAACCCGGGAATATGCAATACATGGGCCTGAATGGGCCGATCTATTTCGTCCAGGAAATGGAGATCGTTGAGCTCTCTTCTTAGGGCTTCTATAGTGTTTACACCAACCAAGGAGGCCCAAGTTCATAAAATATGAATACGATATGGGCCTTGGTGTACGTAGTATATGCTTGCGCAGGGCTAATTAAAACTTAAAAGCATATCATTATTTCGTTGATCACGTGACAAGTTAGGCAGGGAACATCTCATCTCATGGCGCAGTATACATCGCACTGCTAACAATTCAACTGCGTCTTGTTCATTATGTGTTCCACCGTGATTGATTGCAGACAATAACAATTTATATAAATTAAAACATGCAACTTAATAATTATTAACGCGTTAGAATTTCTCAATGCAATTAAAATCATAAACTTATAATTGTATGCCAACGTACATCATTCCACAAGTTTGAGTTTCAATTTATAACAACGACAAGATTATGTCGAGCGAGCGAAAGAGCTAATAAGGTAGAAGTACAACTCATGCATGTTCTGTTAGGGTGCCAAATCCCAACTATTAATATTACTCATGTTTATCACGATTTATATGTGCAGGGGGTGGATTATAGGCTTTCCAATTTCCATTCACCACTTTGGACGCGACAGAGACACACGAATATCCAAATGTCCCATGCCCAAGATTTAGTTAGAGATCGTTTGGAAGTTGCGAATATTAAATCGTTGCATTGTAATGAGTCACCATAATATAAATGCATATATTGATACAATAGATGCATTTTACCAATACATTGTTTGGTTGTTGAGATTCTACTTTATGCATTGATTAACATAAAGTTACTTTTATGGGAAAATGTCATATTTACCCTCGACTTTTAGTATAAGACAAAAACTATTAGGGATATAAATGGATAGAAAATGTTGACACAAATCTAAAAGCAACAATCTCAATTTTTAGTTGAGATTGTATAATGCATCATTTTTTGTGATTGTTGGTGGGACCTACCTAAAATAATGCATGCATTATTTTACACTTTGACACTTCCAAACATTATACTGTGCACAATATATGTATTCAACAAACACAACTCTAACAATCACAACTTCCAAACGACCCCTTAATGTTGGGATGAATAGCTTTGAAAAGCTATAAATGAAATTCCTAATTAATTATCCAGTATTTTCCCATAATACATAAATAAGATGGATAATTAATAAAGGGAATATTATGGAGATAATTAGGAATAATTATCTTAATAGATTATATTTTAATTATGGGAGTAATTATCTCCCTAATTAAAATATGACTTATTCCCAAAGAAAGAGGGAATATTCTGGGTTTTCTGCTCCTATAAATAGGAGACGCCCCAGACCCTTTAAAGACACCTCAGAGAGCAGAAACACGAGATAAATAGTGAGTTCATAGAGATCCGGTTTTCGCACAAAACCGATGGCAACAAAATTAGAGTGGCTGTTTTATCCTGGAGGCGACCGGCTGATAGTCTGATGTGCGCAATACGAGGCAGTGCCGCGAACGTCTTAAAGAGAGCGACCTAGTCCGCGACTCAACCAGATCGGTAACCCTAATTTTTCTGTTTGATTTCTAACAATTTTAAGACGCTTGGTTGCTGTCATGTGTATCAAACAGGTTATCGATTTTGGCTCGATCGATCTTGTTCCATGCCGCTCCGAGAAAGGTGCAACTTTGTCCACGATGCATCACACTTATTTTTGCTCCCACCGATCGGAAACACTCGTCGTTAGCGCCACGCTCAAATTTCTGTTGCAGCCGTCGTAACTTAGATGAGTTTTATATAGAAGGGGCATGTGTTTCGGTTGCGACAGTGAATTATCATGTTGAACGTGTCTTCACTAACCCTTCTGTACGTGAGTTCCGATTGTTTTATGAATTAGTGGACTGGTGGAGTGATAGCATCGTTATCACAAGAAGAAGGTGATGCTGTGGATATGAAGCTCCGGTGGCGTCCGAAGCTTTGCCTTGGACGAGCTGAAACTGGGCACCTGGGATTTCCGCATCCGAATCCGCGTCGGGCCCGCCCACCTCTTACAGTTAGTTACATGGCGGAGCTGTGGGGATGGCAAGTTCGGGGCGCACAAGCGGTTCATCGATGACCGAGGCGGCAGTCGCAAGATCTTCAAACCTAAGCTCGCCCTTCTCCGTGGGGGAGCAATCTGGTTTCCGGATCCGGCCCACGGAAACAGGAGCCGGTTGGGGAATGGTGGTTTGGGAGAATGAATGGGCCAGGGCAATGAAACAAAGCCACGGGTCCATTTAGTTTGCTTTGTAAAATTAAATCCCATGGAGAAGTGGATGTGTGTCCTTGTCCAATTAATTCCGGTTGAGATGTCTCGCATGGAATTAAATAGACCTAGGCAGCAAGTCTCAGGTGTACCCGCCGATTCTTATCTCTAAAACACAATATCTTTGTCAATAATTTTTAACTGGCCTTGATGGCGAAAACCACTTTGTTGTTCTTCTTCGCAAACCTCATTTTCCCTCTCTTCATAATCACCTCACTAAACGTCTCCCCAATTTTAAATGTTGTTTGTATATACCCGCCGTACGGCATCGACTTCCCCGGCGGATTAGCCACCGGAAGGTACACCAACGGCAAGAACGTCGTCGATTTCATCACCGACCAGCTCGGCATCCCCTCGCTACCGCCGTCCCGGGACCCTTCCACCGCCGGTCATAGTCCGCGGCGTCGACTTCGCCTCCGGTGGGTCGGGGATCCTCGACGAGACCGGCGCTATCACGTTAGAGCAGAATTGGCGTCGCCGTTGTCTCTTCGTCGAAAGAGGGAATGAAGGGGTTTTCTGCAATGGCGGAGCTGCTGCCATTGGTTCCAAGACCGCCCCTGCGACGCTGCCTTCGGTGATTCCGGTAAATACTTCTATTTATGTGTTCTTACTTCTCAGGTCTGTAACTTTCCTAGATCTGTATTCCGTCGCTCCTATCCTCAATCGGTATATACCATCCAAAAAGAGCTAGACAGCTCGGGAGATGAACAAAACAATTTTACATAATCCGTATTACTATCTTAGTATCTTTCGGGTTGAGTATTATAGTTCACCTCTGTGGAACTCGGTTCTTGCCATAAGGCTATATTGTTCCCAGTGGAAAATCTATTATCGGGACTCCTAGAGTAAGCATGGAATCGGAGGGACTCTAAACCTCTTCCGGCAAGATTCACCCCTGTATGAAATCTTCGCATGTGTGACCAACAGATTGGTGGATCACCCTCTGTCCCTTGCCGGATTTTTTTTCTGGTGATCGGATTTCATTTCGCCGGCGATATTTTCTATTATTATTCCTTTAATTGAGGTAACTGCCCCGAAATCATAGTCTTTCCCTTTTGAATTCAATATTAAATACATAATTATGTCTCTTCCCGCATGCATTGAATTCAATCTTATTCATTTCCATTAATTGGGGTTACTCATTTTCAAATTAGCATTTATCAAATTTTTACCTTTTATAATGAATTTGTTAATTAATATTTCCATTAATTGTGTGCTTCTAACGACAACTCGGTACATGCAGGTATATCACTTATGGGTTTAGTAATCACTTTATCTCAAGTCGGTTACAAGGCTTTATGGCCAGAAACGGCTAGTGCCGGAAAAGCCTTAATTGTGCTTTCAAATCGTCTCCTTAATGACGAGCTAGAGTGTTTTAAAACTCTAATAAAGAGATTCTTTCGCCAGCATAATGGGGCGTATTCAAAGGGCTCCCGCAAATAAATATGCTCCCAAGGCCTAATCAATGCAATCATCCAACAATTTGATACTAGAACAGATTGGCCAGCAATTGAGTCAATTCGGTAATTATACATCATGGCCGGCAACAGATTCTGCCAAAAAGCTTTTAATGGTCATCACTTTAATGAGTTTATGTGCATTTGACTATCCAAAACCTCAGTAAGGGAGGATTCTAACCGTTTCAGACTATGGTTGAAATCGGCCCTTCAAACTCGTGGAGTAAACTGCCTTAACCGATGCCCTGTCTGCTGGAGACATCGAGAAAGCATTGAACATTTATTCTTCAGATGCCCCCTAGCCATTAGATTGTGGACTTTAGTGGGATTGAGCAACTTTATTGAGACCGCCCAGACTGTTAACTTTAGTCTATGGTGGCGACATGTCATAGTCTCTGAGACCGCCCCATTCCACATTCTCCAATGCGTTTGTTTACTTTGGAGAATCTGGAAGTCTAGAAATAAAGTGACTTTCGAATTTTACCAACCTCATGTCCGTTCTCTAGCCAGCCAGTTCTACAACCAGGTCCTCGAAGTCTCCTATCTTCTCCTTCCTCCTCCACCCCGCATTTCTACTCCCAAACCTTCCTGCCACCTCTTGGGTCCCTCCTCCAGAAGAATTTTTGAAGATCAACTTCGACGCTGCTATTTGTGCCACTGTGTGTTCGTCTGGGCTTGTTATCCGTGGGTCAGACGGGCATGTGGTGTTGGCGGTCGGGCTGCAGCTTCAAGTAATAGTCAATCCTTACCTGCTAGAGCTTCTAGCCTTTAGAGATGTTATCTCCATCGTAGCCTCAAGATACTTGACCAGCGTGATAGTCGAAGGTGATTCCGAAGTGGTCGTCAAACAACTTCGTCAAGGCGTAATAGAAGACTCAATTGGTGGTCCGGTGTTACGAGAGTGTCTTCAGATCCTTAGCTCTTTGTCTGTTTATATAGAGTTTAGGGCGGTACCTAGATCCGCCTACAGTGCTGCCCATAGAGTGGCACGTAAAGCACTACTTTTGTCTCGTTTAGAGGTAGAATCTTTTGATATTTTGGGATGGATTCTTTAGAGTCTTTTAGGGGACCTGGGTAGAATTGTAAGTTTAACTATTTTCCTCTTTTGATATCACTCAGAAAAAAAAAAAAGACCTAGGCAGCTATGGTCATTACTTATCGGCAGGTTGGGATAATGTTTACCTTGTCGTGAAAGTATAGGAATGCCAGGGAGAGGAGATGCGAGCAGATGGATAAAAGGTTGGAATAATCCGCAACAGATATATAAAGAAAGCCCGCCCTGATGATCTGGAGCCAGGATTGGTTGGTACTGGCTATTCGATCCAAAGTAAGAAAGCAATGACCTCTTGAGAAGAGGTAAGAACCCAAACATTATTTATGAGTCATTAATAAATGACAAATTTCAATCTATGACATATGATTCTATGCACGGAATTGAGGATCTCGAGAATGCTAGAGAATCTAGATTTGATGCATGATTATTGAGATGTGCTTTCCTCGATGATTAGAGTATAAATTTGAATGCATGCTGCAGAATAGAGTAATTTTGTTTACATGAGTGTGTGTGAAGAATATATGGGAATAGAATGGGTTAATTGCCCCATAGTGACGATATTGTAAGAAGTACTGTTGTCAGTACTAGATGAACCATTGGGGTTGCTCTGAAACATTAATGTTTCAAGAACGAGAGCATCAAGCCGAACCAGATCCACACCAAATAGAATGGTACCCTTCGTGGTAACCATAAGATTGCCACTCAATCCTCAAAGAATGACGCTATGTTTCTCAATTAAATTTGAGAAAAACTAGGTCAGATGACACGAAAGTGTTAGAGCAAGTTTAACATAGTATTGTGTTAACTTGATTAAAGAAGAGGATTTGGCAATAATAATTGCTTAGGTGATGACAGAGGTTAGCCTTAATGGTAACTCTGGAGAATGGTTGTTGGATACTAGCGCCCCAAGGCATGTCTGTGATAGATGATCTAAGATAGATTCTTTTTTGGGACGTGTGTGTCCTTGTAAAGAATTAGAATATCTAAAGTCACATTCCCATATTATTTTCGAACGCTTGGGATAAATAAAATTTTGTATCCAAGCAAAATGACCCATAAAATATGTGGTTAGAGAATCAGAATCAATAGATCTGATTTATGTTGATATGGGTAAACTTGATGGAAAAGACAATAAATAATTTATTGCTCTTTAGAGTGCTCTGATTGTCTAACTAGTTATTCGAAATAGTTTGAAATGCCTAGTTGCATTATGATTGCACTGATTATTCGATATGTGGCATGCATGTGGTAGCATTAGAGAATCAGTGACATGATAACTAGAAGAGCATATGAGTGTGTAAGTTATTGTAAAACACATAAGCCTATGAAACGAAATACTCATTAGTTTGTGAAAACCATTGATATCAATAGATTCCATTTATATTAAGAAATAGTGGGGGTGATATCCTGCCCACTATTAGAAATCATGGATAACTAGTGGGGGTGATGAATCTGAGTATGAACTCAGAAGAGACAAATGAACCATAAATCACGAAAGGATTTTGGTTATGAATTTGTTATTTACACCCTAAGAAAGAAAGATCCTACAAGTCTGCTAGAAGTTTGAACTTCCATAAAGATGCAGAATTGTGGGAGAATCCATTATTAACGAAATGGAATTATTGGAGTCTAATAAGACTTAAAATCTTTTAGAGTTACCTCTTGGTTGAAAAGCCTTGGGTAATATATCGATAGAATCCAACAAGATTTGGCATCTTTGAGAATTACTTCTTGGAAATTAAGTCATGGGTAATAAATGGATTCTTAAAAGAAAAGTGAAACCTATTGGTTTAGTTTATGAGTATAAGAATCGCCTAATAGCTAAGGCTTTAAGCAAAAAAGGAAAAATTGAAAATTTTCTTGTTATCTATTCACCATATGTAGAATAACATCCATGTATGTTCTGATTGCTAGTGTTGTGCGCCAGATGGATTCTTAAACATGTTTCTGTGAATGGTGATTTAGATAGGAAAATCTACATGGGACAACCTATAAGGTTGTTATTCCTGAACATGCTTTTAGAGTCTATGGTTAGACAAATCATTGTAAGATTTGAAAATGACTAAAAAACAATGACCTGAAAAATCAGATTCTCTCTCATGGTTTTAAGAATGACAAGTGCATTTAGTACAACTTTGAGAATGACACTTGCATTGTGAATGACACATAGATCTTTGGTACAAAGACTTGCGATGTCAATATTGAAAAACCATGATGGTTGAGAATTTTGAATGTGAAGGATCTAAATGAAACAAATGTTATGCTTAGAGATCCTAATAACTAGGAAAATACAAGATGTACACCTGCATACATGTTTGATGATGCTAGTATAAATATTTAAAGAACACCTAAGACGGTGTAAGAAAGTTAGAATGTACTAGCATTTACAGTCTGCGAGAGGCAGCCAATAAACATAAGACCCGATTTAGTGGGGGGTACTTGGCAGGCTTATTGATTGTCGTAGTATGAAGCATTGAAATGCTATTGAAAAGGGTCATGAGACACCTTAAGTGAGCAGTAGGCCTTGATATATGTCATCAATGGTTTCTTGCTGTATTGGTAGGGTATAGTGATGCGGATTAGAATACGCTATAGAGGACTCCAAGACAACAAGAGGATGTGTTTTAAACATCGATAGAGAAGTGATAGACCAATAATTACACGTATTTTCACCCCTATTCTTGAGCCGTTTGAGAGGTTGATTCTCGGGGTTTAAGCCGATTTCACGCGAGGTTGTGTGTTTATGTCATGTTTCAGGACCCGGCGTTGGAATCGAGGCGAAGGAACGAGATTCGGGTCGAAAGGAACAAGTGAGGCTTGAAGCGGGCTGAAGGAAGAAAATACCCGGCCATAACCACAAATACCCGGCCGGGTATTATTCCGAGGAGACCGGGAAATTTCCTTTTTGGCGTCTGAGAAGCAGAGGGGGGCCCGGTCGTGAGGCTTAAATCCCCGGTCGGGGATTATTGGAGCAGACCGGGGATTTTCCCCTGGCATGAAACGTGCGTTTTGATAATACCCTGTCGAGACCCAAAATACCCGACCGGGTATTTCGAACGGGTATCGCGACAGGCAGCTGTTTTAAGGGAAAAGAGGGCTGAAAATCAAGGGATTGGAGTTTTTGAGAGAGAGAACGATTCCTAGAGAGAGAAAGCGACGAACAAGAGTCTCCAAGTGCCCTAGATTGATCTTCAACACCATTGGAGGCCAGTTTGAGCTTGGAGAAGTGCCAATCAACGTCCAGGAGCAGGAATCCATCCTTCACAGTATGAATTCCGCGTCTGATTCTGCTTTTGCTTCTTTCTCCATGGAGTAGTTCTCCCATTCATCTGGGTATGGAGAACCCTAGATTTGTATGTTAGGCTTTGATTGTATGAACCCAAGTACTGATTCTATGATTGATTATATTCGATTGAGGTTTGAATGATTGAATGACTTGAATCCTGATCAAATTCCTGTTGTTTCTGCTTTGATCTAGAATGAGAATATCTGCCTAGGTTGATAGAGCGTCCTTGATTGAAGGTAGGGAGTTGGTGACTTTAGTCGAGGAGCCAACTCACTATTCTGTACCGGATTTACTCCGGTAGTGGAGGTTTTGTTTGTTAAGGCCTCAATCTGTTTACTCCGGTGGAGGTTAGTCGCCCGCTAGAGACTCAGATTGAGAGGGTCTGAAGACCTTTAGTCGAGACTTCAGGCTGTTTAAGAACCTTCCGCAGTATAACTATCATAGAAACTGAACTTGGTAATTACAATCCGGCTTAACTGCAGTCTAGGGGGAACCATATCCAGGTGACCTCTCTTAACCTGAATACAACCATTTACTTGCTTTGTTAGTTTGTTAGTTTAGACTTGCATTAAAGTTTCATTGCTAGATAACAAGAATTCACTGAGTAGTCATCAAATCTAGGACCCAGGTTGATAATTAAACCCAAACCCGCTATACTACGCTTTAGGAAGTGGTTACACTTGGCCAATTCCTAGGGTGACAGTAGAAGTGAGTCAATAAGCTATGTCTTGGAAGTCTAAGAAGTAAACGATCCTGGCTCAATCAACTAAGAAATCAGAAATGATAGAGCTAGCGATTGCTAGTAAAGAGAAAAGTTGATTGAGAGGGTCATTACTAGAGATTCCCTTATGGGAAAGACCCTCCCTCCGGTAGTTGATTCATTGTGATAGCGCCGCAGCTATTACTAAAGAAGGGAACAAGTTCTAGAACGAAAAGAGACGACAAATTTGTCGTAAGCACAGTACTGTAAGAGAACTCCTAACGATAGGAGCAATGAGGGTGGATCCTGTAAGGTCCTAACAGAATCTAGCTGATCCTTTGACGAAAGGATTATCTAGAGAGAAAGTCCAAAGTACCGCCAAGGGTATGAGACTTATGCCTACCAAACCACGGACTACAAGTGATGGTAACCCGACCCAATAGACTGGAGATCCCAAGAAATGGGTTCAATGGGTAATAACAAGTCATGAGTAGTATGCAAAAAGTTCATGCATAGTGAAGCATGAATCCCAAAGCCTTGGAGGTTGAGTTAAACTCTTAATGAGATCTATACTCTATGTGGAGTGAAGTACTTTACTTTGGGGGTACTTCTGATAGACTCACCTATGTGAATGTGGGAGTGGGGCCGCTCCCTATGGAACTTTGGAGGCACAAAGTTGCTAGAGCGTTCACTAAACCGGGATAACGTGCATGGCCATAAACGCACGGCCTATGAGAGAATATCACTCAATGAAAAGATCCGGTGTGCTACATTGTCTGAGATAGGGTTCAAGACTACGAGTCACCCTTATGAAATCGGAAGTGTAACCACTACGCTAAGGTTCAAATCTTCGCGATACCTTAGCTTATGCCCGATCTTATGGAACTGTTATCTCAGAAATAGTTTCAAAACTATTCAAGTGGGGGATTGTTGGGATGAATAGCTTTGAAAAGCTATAAATGAAATTCCTAATTAATTATCCAGTATTTTCCTATAATACATAAATAAGATGGATAATTAATAAAGGGAATATTATGGAGATAATTAGGAATAATTATCTTAATAGATTATATTTTAATTATGGGAGTAATTATCTCCCTAATTAAAATATGACTTATTCCCAAAGAAAGAGGGAATATTCTGGGTTTTCTGCTCCTATAAATAGGAGACGCCCCAGACCCTTTAAAGACACCTCAGAGAGCAGAAACACGAGATAGAGAGTGAGTTCATAGAGCTCCGGTTTTCGCACAAAACCGATGAGCAACAAAATTAGAGTGGTTGTTTTATCCTGGAGGCGACCGGCTGATAGTCTGTTGTGCGCAATACGAGGCAGTGCCGCGAACGTCTTAAAGAGAGCGACCTAGTCCGCGACTCAGCCAGAACGGTAACCCTAATTTTTCTGTTTGATTTCTAACAGTTAAACCCAAACCGCCGCTAAACCATTGATAGGAGACCATGATAATTAAGGGAAAGGGAACAAGCTCTTGTCATGAGGAGAGAAACGAACCCATAAACCATGCAAGTGGAAATGAGTGTTTGTTTCGGAAAGAATCACAGTTCATAGGTAACCAGTTGTGAGCGGGCTTTCCTTTTTCTTCATTGCTGCATCCTTAATCTAACCTGACAAGTCTAGGTGCTCGCAACAGATGGCCATTAATAGTATACAGTACTACTATACTAGATTGTACCCTGGCCCGTTGGCCGGTTGCAATATGAAAACATTAATTGACAAAAGTTCAAAGTTTAAATTTCAATAGTATTCCTTTACTATATATTTGTGTCATGATTATATTATATGTCAATGTCATGCGAATTAACAAACAATGCTATCAGTTTTATTAAATACGAAGACAGTTTCTTAATTTTGACCACTGAGAAAGTCTAATTTCTCAATTGCTTGGAAAATAGAAAATGAGTGTCCATAAGAATGATTACTAACATGGTAAACGTTGCCTTTTATATAAATTATTTTTGAACTTAAAAAGATAGAACTCATGCAAGGATATATAAACTTATAAAAAAATTTAATGATATGATATTATAGGTAATCCAAAATGACCAATATCCAGTTTCTTTGTTTCGTACTATCCAGTTTTAGAAGATGATTGTAATCGTATAAGTTTGATTGGGTAGCAAGGAGTCTGATAGGTAGAAATTGGTAGAAGATTACTGGTGGTTTTTTTGGTTCTACAGATCACGGGGTACTTTCCATTCTGGAATTTCCCCTTCGTTGTATTAGAGTGTGGAATGTGTTTGCCTTTGCACTTTTTCTTGTTAATAAAATGGGAACTGATTCAATGAAGAAGAAAAAATGACCAATATCAATACCTCTTTACTATCAAGAATCTTCATAATCAACTTCACTATATTCATCATCAACTAACACTTCTCTCACTGTAATACATTTCTCGTAGGAATGTTAATAACTTTTCCATATACACGCATTTTTCTTTAATAAAAAGCACGTTTTCTTCTTGGTAATTTTTCAATGATTAATCAGTTCTATTCAACTCTAACTTATGTTAATTAATTTGTGAAGGTTTAAAATGGATAGTAATAATTTTGTAATGTCAAGCAGTGTGAAATAGTTAGCGATATTATAAACAATTGATAGTTGTTCATGTCGTTATAAAACTTATTTTCCGCTTCACATAGAGACTAATAATAGTCCATCACACCTTTTGGTGGTATGAAAATGACTCTTTATTCTCCTAAAGCAAATGTGACATGAACACATTAAATTATAAGATGCATATAATTAAAAATTATCTGTAAAAAAGAAAATCAATCACAATATTTAATTGTTTGGATGATTCTCTACGGGAAATATTTCTTTCAAGCATTGAACTACAAAATTTGTAGTCGTAAAAATATTAGTCTAAATAATATATAAGTGAAATAGTTGATGATGGAGAGGGTTCTAACATGAACATGACAACCTTAGTTAATTAGTTATTAGGGATGACAATTTTGCCCAAACTCATGGGCATTTTAAAAATCTATGAGATCCAAATAGATGCTAAATGTCTAGAGTTTGATGAGTTTGTACCCATACCCATTTATTTGGTTTGAGTTGGATTTTTAATCTATGAATTTTGGTTTGTACCCACACCCATTATAAATTACAATTTGGTATCTAAGCTTAATATATCTGTAATTTTTTTTTGCATAAGTCATATTGATATTGATGACAATTACATATTAGTATCTAAAATTTTTATGTATTACAATTTGATGCCTAAACTTTTATGTTTTACAAATAGGTCCAATTTTTGTTTGTGTAGTTAAGAAAAACCTCAAGCAAATGGGTATCAATATCCAACCCATGCCCATTTAGAGTATGAAAGCAATATTCATATCCTACTCAAACCCATGTCAACCCCATATATACTTCACCCATATCCTACCTATAATCAATGGATTTACTTTTATTTGGGTAAATTTAAATCAAGAGGTTCGTATGAATTATTAAAACCAAAAAAAAAAATGAAATCGGCCCTGCCTGAAAATAAATAGGCCCGTATGAATTATTAAACCCAAAACAAAAAAGTTCGGCTGAATTAAGTATAAAAAAGAAGAATAGACTAAACCCCCCTTCCATGCTTTGCGCACGATTCAGGAAAAAGGGATCTAAGTGGGTGCTGCGGTAGAACGTGCTTATATGAAAGTACGGGATCGCTTAGTTGTAAGTATAGCACGTCGTCGCTGTCGCAAAACCCTAACAAAGTTGGAGGTAAGTTTTTCCAGCTCAGCCTGCATTGCCTCTAACTCTGCACGCGAATAAGAACCACTCTTCCAATGATGTTATAATAAGGTAAGAATAATAATACGATCACTATAAAGAATACGAACTTACCTGCTTCATATACCATGGGGTCCTTTGGGGCGGGGGGAGCAGTTTCAGGTGGTAAGAAAATGGCACGACCCTTCCCTGCAAGAGATAAGTAGCACAATTAGCGGGTGGATTTCGCATATACGGATCAAGGTTTGGGAAACGCTGCAGTAGAGGGATTTGTTCTAGCAACTTATGCATGTACACTTGCTTTCTCAAAAACCCAAAAATGTGTTTCTTGGCATGGTCATATGCCTGTTGTCATCTTATAATCATGGATTAAAAGGTCTCTGTGTGGCATATTGTTTTCCTCTGTTCCCCTAACTATTGCGACATGTTTGAAACATATAAAGTTTCCCATAAATTGAAAGGAATCAAAGATTGTTGTCCTGTAGATAGTCGTGGAAGATGTAAAATTAACATTCCTGCAAGGCCTTTTATGTTGGGATCCCTAGTGTCATTCTTATTTTATTAGGGATCATTATGTAATTAGTCATTGTTCTTCCTATGTTGAGTTTGTTGTTTGGGAGAAGACTATTTATATTTCGACCGCTGCACTTGTAAACCCTAAGCAAGTGAGACTCAGACTATTAAGTTTTTCAGCCGAGAGCTTATTGCTCTCCGTGGAGTAGTCTCGTTCATCTTGAACGAGGAAACCACGTAAACCTTGGTGTCTTGTGCGTTTTATTTCTTCCGCTTCTATCGTATTTTACATGGTATCAGAGCTATGCTGATCACAGGTTGAATCATGACTTCCAACGATGAATCGTCCACCAAGACAGGTAAATCGGCCGCCGATCAATCAAAGATGAAGTCGGCTGTTGTTGATGGCCAAGGTGGCTTGCCTTCGCATATGGTTCTTCACCAATCGGAGAGCCCTAATAATCTGTTCGTTGGAGAGTTACTCACGGACGTTAATTATGGTGAGTGGATTGTTGACATCACGTACTCACTAGTTGCTAAGAACAAGATTTTCTTTGTTGATGGTACCCTTCCGGCAGCGACGAATTCGGCTGAAAGAGAGGCGTTGCGGCATTGCAACGCCATGGTCAAAGGATGGTTAAAGACGGCCATGTTGAAAGAGGTACAGAATAGTGTTCGCTTTGCCTACACTGCTCGAGAAATTTGGGTAGACCTGCAATCACGTTTTGGACAGGGTAATTCGTCTCGTCTATACGATCTCAAGCGTAATATTCATAGTCTTCAGCAAGAAAAAATGTTTGTATCAGCCTTTTATACTCGCCTACGTGGGTATTGGGATGAAGTTCAGGCAATCATGCCTTTGCTGGACTGCACTTGCGCTGGATGTCATTGTGACGTAAAGCGCCATCAACGAGAGGCACGTGAAGGAGAACTCCTCCTCGACTTTTTGATGAGATTGGACGACGCGTTTAGCACCGTGAAGTCCCAGATCCTCGCTATGAAACCGGTGTCGTCTCTTGCCGAAGCTTATCATCTCGTTGTAAACAATGAACAGCAGAGGCAAATCTCGCAAAGCAGGAGGACGCGATCAGAAGCGGCCATTTTTTAGGCTCAGGGGGAGCGCCGATGGGATCGCTCAGTGCCCTCTGGCGATCATGAGAAGGAGCGCGATCGGGATAGGGAAAGAGACTCAGATGGGAAAGTTCGGTGCTCTCACTGCCAGCGTCCAGGACACGTTAAGGAAACGTGTTATCGCCTCATCGGGTTTCCGCCGAAGAATAATGAGAAGGAGGATTCTTCACGGCGTCGTAATGAGAAAGGCACTCAGTCTGGCCCGCTTGCTGCCCAAATTGATGCCCCGGCCAGTCCATTGCCCGGGCTCACTTCGTCGCAATTTGCGCAGCTCAAGGAGTTGCTCATTAGTGATCTTCATCAGTCCTCGCAGCCTGCTCTTGAGCCTACTTCGAACATGGCCGGTAAGTTCACTGGACATTCTTCTACTTGGGTAATTGATTCCGGTTGTACTGAGCACATTGTTAATAATGCTTCGTTGTTGGATGTTGAGTTGGATTCGTCGCCAACTCTCCAGGTCAAAATTCCTAATGGCGCAGGTGTTAAGGTTAATAGTATTGCGACGAGCAAATTGTCAAGTGAATTACATTTGCGTCGTGTTCTTCATGTTCCTGATTTTCAGTGCAACCTGCTCTCTGTCAGTAGACTTACAGCGGATCTTCCGGTTGCATTAATCTTCTTAAGTGACTTCTGTGTGATTCAGGACTTACCATCCAAGAGGCTGATTGGGATGGGTAAGCATGTTGACGGATTATATTATCTCAAGCTATTCGATGAGGCTCATCCGGTTGCGCATTCCGTTCGACGGTCACTGAGTGTGGCGGAGCTTTGGCATGCTAGACTGGGTCACCCATCTTTGGCAAAGCTCAGTGTTTTGGAGAAATTAGTTGATTGTCCTTTAATTCAGTCTCGAGATCCTTGTCGCTCTTGTTTACGAGCTAAACAAACTCGCAATACTTTTGAGTCGAGTACTATTAAGAAAAAGTCAGTTTTTGAACTCATTCATATTGATATCTGGGGCAGTTATAAGACAGCGTCTACTTCTGGTGCACATTTTTTCTTGACCATAGTCGATGATTACAGTCGTGCAGTGTGGGTTTTTCTGATGCGACATAAGTCAGACGTAGGCAAATATTTGATATACTTCTGCAATATGATTCAGACTCAGTTTACCAAGCATGTTCAGCGCATTCAAGCTGATAATGGACCAGAGTTTGCCACCCTTGCGTTGAAAACGTATTACGAGGAGAACAGTATCATTTTGCAGACCTCATGCACGGATACTCCACAACAGAATGGAGTAGTGGAGCATAAACATAGACATTTACTTGACACTGCCCGTGCATTGCGTTTTCATGCCAATTTGCTGATTAAATTTTGGAGAGAATGTGTACTGACTGCGGCCTACTTAACCAACATAATGCCACTTGTTAGCATTGGTAACAAATCTCCGTATCAGGTTTTATTTGGTATGGATCCTACTTACGATCACCTTTGATCGTTTGGCTGTCTAGTCTATGCCAGAGATAATCATCATGGACTTCCTAAGTTTTCTGCTCGAGGACGTGTTGGCATCTTTCTTGGGTATCCTGCTACACAACGCGGATATCGTATTTATGATCTCGAAAAGCACCTTGTCTACACTTCGCGGGATGTGAGATTTTTGGAGGAGATTTTTCCTTATCACACTGTGGATGCCGAGACTTCTTTGACCCCAGCAGCTGTTCACGGCCTCTTTTTGGCGTCCCGCCTCCTCCAATTGATGATGATATTGTTCGCATTTCAGCTCATTCGCCTCATGTTCCATCATTGGTTGAACAGCCTCATGTTGCTCCTGATGATATTGCCTCTCCTTCGTCCGTTTCAGCCAAGGACACTTCGTCCTTGCCTCCCCGTGAGCAACTGGAGGCGTCTGCCTCCTCTCCCATTCGCCAGGATGCTTTTCCCAAAGTTGTTCCACCACCAGAACCCACGGTTCCTCCTCTTCGCCGTGGTGACCGAGTCCGTGTCCCTTCTACTCGGCTTCGTGGATATGATGTCCAACTCTCGGGCGCATCACATTATGTTGAAGTCGAATATCCACTTGAAGATTTTCTTAATTATGACCGTCTTTCCTCCGCGCATCACGCGTTTGTTGCGACGGTTACCACTACTGAAGAGCCGACCTATTTCTATCAGGAAGTTCGTCATAAACATTGGAGAGATGCCATGCAGCGAGAGATTGATGCCTTGATCGCCAATGGCACCTGGTCTTTGGTTCATCTTCCTCCTAGCAAAAAGACTATTGCGTGTCGTTGGGTGTTCAAGATCAAATTTAACCCTGATGGCTCAGTTGAACGTTACAAAGCTCGACTTGTTGCCAAAGGCTTTACACAAGTAGAAGGCATCGATTACCATGACACTTTCTCCCCGGTCGCCAAGCTCGTCACTGTTCGCTGCCTCTTGGCAGTCGCAGTCACTCGTAACTGGCATGTTCATCAGCTAGACGTGAACAATGCTTTTCTTCATGGGGATCTCGAGGAGGAAGTCTACATGGGGGTTCCACAGGGTTTTTCTCAGCCTGGTGATACAAGAGTATGTCGTTTGCACAAATCTATATATGGGTTAAGTCAGGCATCGCGTAACTGGTATCAGAAGTTTACTCAGGCACTTCAGACCTTGGGTTTTATTCAAAGCCGCGCCGATCATGCTCTTTTTGTCTACCGGCGGGCTTCTACTTACTTGGCTGCACTTATTTATGTTGATGACGTAATTCTTGCAGGCACATATTTATCGTTTATTGCCCATGTTAAGGACTATCTTCATGCGCAATTCATTATCAAAGATCTTGGTACGTTGAAGTATTTCTTGGGTATTGAGGTGGCACGTTCACCTCGAGGGATAGTGTTGAATCAGCGTAAGTATGTTATGGACATTCTCGCTGATACTGGTCTTTCTGCTGCTCGTCCTTGCTCTACTCCCATCGAGCAGCAACATCACCTTGGTCGAGTTGCTTCTCCTCCTGCAGCTGATGCCAGTGCTTATCGCCGTCTTATTGGGCGCTTACTCTACCTCACTGTGACTCGGCCAGACATTACCTATGTTGTTAACTTGCTCAGTCAGGCCATGAAGGCTCCGACCAAAGCACATGAAGAGGCTGCAGTTCGTGTGCTTCGTTATTTGAAGTCTACTCCTGGTCGCAGACTCTTCTTCCCGGCGTCCACTCCTTTGGTTCTCACTGCGTTTTGTGACGCTGACTGGGGAGGATGCCCTCTCTCCCGTCGTTCCACTACTGGATATTTTATTACTCTTGGTGCCTCCCCTATTTCGTGGCGCACTAAGAAACAGACGGTCGTCGCCCGTTCGTCTGTTGAGGCCGAGTATCGTGCCATGGCTAGCACGGTCAGCGAGGTTCTCTGGCTACGCTGGTTGTTGGGTGATTTTGGAGTTGTTCTTTCTAGTCCTACCCCATTTTTTGTGACAATCAGGCTGCCCTTCACATCGCAGCCAATCCTGTGTTTCACGAGCGCACAAAGCATGTGGAGATGGATTGTTATTTTGTGCGCGAGCGGGTTCAGTCACACGACATTGCTCCTCGCAAGATTCCTACTTCAGAACAGCTCACGGACCTGTTCACGAAAGGCTTGAGAGTCGATCTTTTTGGTCATCTTCTTGGCAAGCTCGGCCTTCTGGACATTCACTCCTTCGCTTGAGGGGGAGTGTTGGGATCCCTAGTGTCATTCTTATTTTATTGGGGATCATTATGTAATCAGTCATTGTTCTTCCTACGTTGAGTTTGTTGTTTGGGAGAAGACTATTTATATTTAGGCCACTGCACTTGTAAACCCTAAGCAAGTGAGACTCGGACTATTAAGTTTTTCAGCCGAGAGCTTATTGCTCTCCGTGGAGTAGTCTCGTTCATCTTGAATGAGGAAACCACGTAAACCTTGGTGTCTTGTGTGTTTTATTTCTTCTCGTATTTTACATTTTACTTTGTAATCGAACTCGGCTAGTTACGTAGAAGGAGAAATCTTACACGGGACATTGCTTCGATCCAAGTAATCTTCAATATGCGAAGAAGATGACTCGCCGATGCTGGAAGCTACGTCAAGCATAGTCTATATGTTGAACCAGATGTAGAGAGAAGGTGGGTAGGAGGGGGATTTTGAATCAGGAGAGTTGCAGTGCACGGAATTAGAGAGTGACGGGGAGAAAGCAAAGGAGGAGGAGCACTGCCGATGTGAGTGACTGGGGATGCAATCCGGCGAAAAGGTTAGTCCGCTATTTCCAATTGGTTGGCGGCACTCGTCGCTAGGTAGAACAGATTCCGAAGAGGGACGTGCAAAACGTCAAGGATGCGTTGCGCCACCGCCGGTGTGAGTGACTGGTGATGAGATGCAGGCGAGCAGGCTCGTCCCCTAGTTCCAATTGGTTGTCGGCGTTGGCCGCTAGAGAACGGATCCGGAGAGTGATGGGAGAACGCCAAGGAGGAGCTGCACCGCCGGTGTGAGTGACTGGGGATGCAAGCCGGCGAGCAGGTCGTCGCTAGTTCGAGTGGAGGTTAGCGTCGATTAGTGTTCTGTTTTGTGATTTGGAAGATGAACAATTGTTCATTATTTATTATTATTTTTGTATTTGTGGGGTATGTGATGATTTAGGGTATGGGGTCAGGTCGCCCGCGTTTCATAATTTAGTAGCAATTTGGGCCCAGATACGGGCCTACACTCCCTTTATCTTCAGCAAGCAAGCTACTGGGCCAGACGAAATACAAAAAAAAGCCTCAGATTAATTGGGTTGTATAATTACTAAATTGGGTCTCCGAAAATTACTCTATGGCCTGCAATTTTAAAATCCTGAATAACTGCTTCTAACTCCACTATAATATATTTGTAGACTACTTCAGGCTGCATGCTTGCTTTCCACCTTTGCCCTTCCAATTTAAGCTATGTAGAGCTCTAGTTGTACTCCATCTTCGAAAAATTGAGATAAGAAGGGTTAAGAATACGCAGTGGCGGATCTAGAAAATTTTAACAGGGGTGTCCTCTTCAAAATAAAAAAATAAAAAAAATTCATAAATAAAAAAATATCAGACTAGTTCAAATTTTAACATAAGGCCACGACGTATTTTTATATTCTGAAAAAGAATAAAAAATAGGCTTGATAAATTGCTCAACAAATCTGTATATCCTACTAGACAATAGTTCACAAACTGATCGTATATGGATTTCTAACCTTGTTTATTTATGTAACTCAAAGTTGAAAAGACTCTTTCAACACTTGTTGTGTAATCATAAAATCAATTCAAATTAAGGGTAGTTAATTGTTAGGTTTTGGAAATAGTCGGGGATAAGGAATAACTTTTTACTATTATGTAGTGTTTAAAATAGAACAACAAATGAGTTGCAATTTAATGGAGGACAATGTTTAAAAAATATAGTATATCCTAAGTTTGAATAACACAGACTATCGCTTATTTTTTTAAAGTATACGCAAACTACTACTGAGGATAGGATTATCGTTGTAGGGGTGTCCGAATCACTAATTATAAATTTTTCATTCATACAAAGCTACTACCGGAGTTTGAATAATCGTATTCTCGAATTTTAGGGGATATCCCGGGACACCCCTAAACCCTCATGTATCTGCCCCTGAGAATAAGGCAAGACAGATTAGAAGTAGTAATTCATGTCTTGTCACATACTAGTAGATAATCATTGGCGGAGCTACATTGATTTGGACTTTGGAGTCATTGGACCAAGGGAAGGACTGGGGGATTCGACCCATGAACGCCACATTGGACCAAAGCACTAATTTAGCCATTGGACGCCGTATTTCTTTTTAATCTTTGGACCCCATTAAATTTTTTTGCGGGCTAAGCCAATGTGGATAATACCACTCCAATACAAATCAAGTCAACTAATACCTGACAAAACGAGTATAAATTGGCACTCCTAATCATCAATTGTCTTTCTTTAAAAAAAAATACATGATTTTTCATCAACTTTACTTTTCTAAACCTCTATCCAAATAATACTTCTATCCAAATTTAAGAAAAACAAATTATCCAAATTTAAAGAAAAAGAGACACTGGTTGCTGCGTTCACACGCGTCAAAGACGAGTCATTGCATGAGTCCACGTGTCATCCCGAGAGCAAAAACCCCTCCCGCCAGGATTCCTAGGTTGTAGTGATCTGCACTCCACGGGCTCGCCCGCGAATAGACTGAATTACCCCCACCTTTAGCCTCGGCGTACACTTGGGCCTATCGCCCCTCGTGGGAAAGAACAAATATTGGGGGTTGGGAACAACTGAACAAGTTGCATGTGGAGCCCACACAGGCATCCGGGCGGAGACCCTACCCAGCCGGGAAAACGACCGGCAATCCTCCCTAACCCGGAAACCCGAGTGGTGGGGCTGGCTTCCCGGACACGTGGACGAATGGGAAAGCAGATTTAGATGGAGCTCTGGCAGCCACAAATCTCGATCTCACGGACTAGCGCTCAGCCACAAATCTAGTGGGGGTGGGGGCTCCTCATATACTTTCTTCTTCTTCTCTCCTTCTCTTATCTTACAATTTCCAGGATTTCAATCCATTTCCATCCCAAATTTGTGTCGACGCTGGAACTTCATCGCTCTTCTCATACACATAAATCTTAGCTGGGAAGTCTGCAGCTGGTTATACTCTAAACCTAATCGGAGCTTTCAACCCTCCTGCAAATCAGAGCCGCCGCCTCCCCTTGCAAACCTTCATCGAGGGGTTCTTGTCATTTCTGGTTGATTTTCTCATCTGGGTTTAGATCTCGGCGCCATATCTCTGGAAATCGACAACTGGGTATTCTTCGTTTCTATGAATTGATCCTCTGCTTACACTCAAATTTGTTCACTTCTTTGCTTAGGGTTCCATCTTCCATGTTATCCCTCTGTTACGCCTTTGGTTCCCCTGAGGAACTGGCCTATTGGGTTCCTTTTCTTTTTGTTTACTTAATTTGCTTGGTTCTTGAGAAAAGATAGGGAAGAAGTTGCGAGAGAACTGCGATTCTCAGTATGGGATTTTCCTTTTTGTGTGTCTAGCTATTCTGGGATGGAGGAGTAATATTCTCAACTAAAATTAGATTTAAGAAACTTCAGTTTCTCTGTATGCCTGTGCAGTATTGTTGGGGAATGCTTATTAATCTTGCGGATCTATTTTCTTGGTTTGTTTTTTCAGAAAACGATCTTATGATGAATGGGTATTTTGGATACGATGATCTTGTTGTTCCTAAAGATCAAGGATATTCTGATGGATTCCAATCACCTGATAGCTGGTCAAATTGGGGACTAAATGATTCCAATACTTTCAACGACTATCCTCACAAACACATGCTATCTCCTACAAATCTGAATCCAGAACAACTCAGATTTGACTCCCAGACTTCTCCAAATCATCAATTCGACATGGAGTGCAGTACTATCCCAGATAGAGATCAATCTAGTTGTTCGAGTTTTGGTGGACGAGCACCTGTATACCACCAGTCCCTTCACCGTCAGGCGGTGGATAGTCAACTCGACTGCCTGTCAGGGTTTGAGCCCATGGATGATCATTTCTTGTACGTACAACTCTTACTTCTGCTGTTAAGATACTTCATTTATTTTATCAGTATGCTTATCAAAGCTTTTTCTTCCTTTTTTCTTTGTAGGAGTTCATTGCTTGATGACATGCAAGAGATGGAACAGAATTCACCTTGCTTTTCATCCGAGTCACAAGACTGCATGATTCCTGCTGATGATCTCTGGACCGAATCCACCGCTTTAGATTCAGACTCAATATCTAGCAATGGTGGATTTGCTGCATCGTCACACTACAGTCCATGCGACTTGGAGAAGGCAGTTCTTCATCAACTAAAGGTGACATCTTCCCACATGCTAATTTAGAATTTGTCATTCAGGAATATCACATGAATATTACTCACTTATTAAATATATACAGAATTTTCAGTTTTGAAATTCGTTGAGCCAACAGAAGTACATCAAAGAAGGGAAGTTTGTGGCTTGACTCTTAACTAGGTTGCATTTTGGGGATGGTTCTTTCACCCAAGTATCTTGTAGTAGAATTTTAATCCTCTTTATGACTTGAGTCAAGTGAGTACCAGCTTAGGTTGACTAGGTTAAAAGCTTATTTTGTGATCATTGATCTATGGTACAGCTTATACTGATAATTTTCAATCCATTTTGAAGGTACCTCCTTTTACTGTATCAGTAACAACATCTGAGGATGACTGCAAAGACTTTCAACTACAAAATGAACCATCAAGGGAGGAGTCTGCACTGCATGAGTTCGAACTGATGATGGCACAGGTATTGTAAATGGTTGTCAAAAGTCTTTTACCAGTTCAATTAAATGGCAGATGGTAATAATAGCTTCTTGTCCTTTTAATCTATTAGCTGCCTACCAAGACCCGAATATGCTTTCGTGATGCCTTGTACCGTTTGGCCAAAAACTCAAGACCCCATGAAGTAGCAAATGATGATGTTTCCATGGACACCTCTTCATGGGCACCTCAAGTCGAGGAATCAAGGTAATCATGTCCTGCTTCCCAACTGCCTATTTGGTCTCTTGAATGATTCTTATTGATTGATCAACATGGTAGGTTTTGCACCTCATTAAGCTGCATAAAGAGTTCAGGACTTGCTTGTCGTTCTTTTATGTTTTTTGTTAGTCAATTGATCTTCACAAGCTTCACCTCGTCTGCAACTAAAGCAACTCTGTTTCCCCATATGCAATCTTTCTGTTTCCAAGTTACTGACCTGTGTGAGTTGGCCCTTTTTGTAACTAAAGGTCCGGAGAAAGAGGAATGGAACCAGAGACGAACTCCATCGATCGATCCATAGCAAGCATGATGTTTAACCAGATGGACCTAAACGTGCTGCAGTCAAATCACCCACAATGCTTCACTGCTGCGCCTCACAGCCCGACATTTCTTGGCGACGCTGAGGTTCCAGTTTCTGGTAATGGAGGATACATTGGAGGAGCAGCAGCAGCAGATACGGACATGCATATGTCACGAACTGTGGCAAACTAGTGGCGTTGCAGTTTCCGAATCAGAAGCTGGTTTTGAAATAAACCATTGAAGAAGGCCGGGGTTTGGAGAGGAGTTCAGCTAAGGATATGATTATGAATGATCCACGTTTTATGTACATATAGATATTGTGAGGGTAGTAGTAGTACTAGTAGCGATATATAGTAAGATCTTAGGCCTGCAGTAAATCTTCACCAGCCAAAGTTGGTTTTTTGAAGGGCATGTGTGGAGAAGTGAATTCTCTGGAGACTTTTGTGGTAGCAGAATACATGTATGGGTTAAAATTTTGTTCTTCTGACTCGATAACGAAAGAGAGAAGGGATTTATTCTATAAACTATAATAGCCACTGCCCACTAGTTTAATCTCCAGCAAGTCGATGCAGGTCATGGCGAATTGAAGCTTAGGTTCTTCCTGCGTATTCCCGGCTTACATGCTGTGCACAAAGGCAAACCTTCATTAAGGGCGAGAAACTCAGAGATTTGAGCAGAGATTACACTCGATCTCAATTGTCTGCTCTCAGGACGGCAGGGAAAATAAGGTTAACTGTTATTCGTCACCTTTGTGGGCTGATCGGACATCAGCAATTCGAGCTAGCTTTATTTTTCAACTCCTTTCTGTTTTACTTATCTTCCATAGCTAGAAACTCTTGAAGAAACCTTGAGATTTGAGATTGCAACGTCATAGTGAGTCCCCTGTTTCTTAACAGTAAGGTTGGTTTGATTTCTGTCCACCAGAATGTCTACCGGATTGAAGTTCACTTTTTTCTTCCGTTGATTTTTAGCCATGAGAATGTCTACCGGATTGAAGTTCACTTTTTCTTCCGTTGATTTTTAGCCACAAGGTTTAAACGAAGTTCACTTTGTGTTTCGTTATTTTCTTGTGTTTTTGTTTCGTTCTGCCACTACCAACAATAAAACAAGGGAGAAAAAAGACAATTGTAATCTATGTCTTCTAACTTGTTAGCAACCAATAGTGTTTGTATACAAACTTGATATTTGAGTTTTTTGTTCTTAACAAGAATAAGAAGTGTGAATTGCTCTCATTCTCAATAAGAACTAGCTTATTACCCGGCCCGTTGGCCGGATTACTGTATGTTACCCACTTGTGGAATGGGAGAGAAAGCAAGTGAGAGTGAAGGGATTGTGATTCCACTTGATTAGGACCGACCCACTAATCTGATTCTTCCCGACCCGCCCCAACCTAAAGGGTCAGAAAGAGTCAATAAGAAAATACGAACAGAGAGAATTAGTAATATATCTTGACTCTTCAGAAGTGGGTCAAACAGGATCAATGTTGGGTGAGGGCAATTTTTAGCGCTAAGCAGAGTTCTGGGTTGAATAACTTTACTTAGTCCTAGAAATTGGTGCTGATGCAGACTGCAGTTTTTATCATACCATCATCAATCATCGTTGAATTAGTCCTAGGCATCCCTCCCCGTTGTCGGTCTGAATTTTAATGATGGCTTCATTCCTTGCACCAGCCATATCGGCGAGTTGTCATCTCGAGCATGATTTGCCTATGTACAAATGATACAATTAAAGTATGAAACTGATATCAAAGAAAAGGAAAAGAGAATTCTATCACATGCCAATAAATACACACATAATAGTTGAAGCTAAGTGAAAGTCATTACTCGCACATCAATTCTCAAAAATTACAGACTAAACAATGGCTAGAATGGCACTGAAACTACCAAAAATCATGGACGAAACAACTTGTCAAATTAAATAATCCTTATACTGAAACTACCTTCTAACTTGAAATAATACATGATCACAGTTCATAGCACTCTTATCACTATGAATTGGTTGCAGCTCGTCCTTATCACTACCTCCCAAGCTCAATTCAAACAGAATAGACACAGTTATGTAAGATAACCATATCATTACTGATCATAATTCCTTTCTTCACTCCATTTTTGTCGGAGAAAAGAGTTATCCCTCTCTCATGCATTTCCCTTTCCCCCTCTCTTCTCCCTCTTCTTCACAAACCGATCCCTAAACCAGCAACAACAACACAAAAATAGCCTTCGCCTCTGCCATCTCCATCTATTGAACGCGTTGGTGGCAAGACAGTACTGCAGAAGCAAAATTTTCTAAAATCAAACTAAATTTTTTGAAGGATACTCAACCACGAAAAAAGAGTAAAGCAACAATGCTAATAGTTCAGATGGTTGGTTTTGATGTTATACGTTGCTTTTGTTCTGGTCTCCAGTGTATCAACTGCAACAGAGATGTTTCCTCCAATCATCTTTAGTGCACGATTTAGAAGTAAGTCCTCTTGTTTGTGTCAAACGGAAACATTCATGGGTTCTTAACTCCCCTGTTAGTGTAAATGCAGCAGCAAAGAAGTTTGACAACACAGCAAGCACCCAGGCAAAATGATACAATGCAGTAGGTGATATGTGTCTCGAAGGTTTTGAGTTACTAAAGTTCATGTTAAAAATAAATATGAATTAAAATGGATTATTCTATTAAGCAAACATCCCCTCTAATCATACAAAGATCAGATATCCAATTCACAAACAATTAAGCCATAAAAAATCATCAAACATCCACCACCTTTGATTGCCTAAATTTGGTTTTTCGAAAAGTTATGGACTCTTAAGGGTAACGTTCATGGGTAGTCTGTTTCATAACTCTAGAGAGCATAGTAAGCAGCCACCAACCAGACACAGTGCGGTAGGCGAATATGATTCTCAATTCACAATTTCTCACCACCGGAAGTAAGAACAGACCATAATAAGCGTAGCGTTCATGGGTGGTCTGTTTCATAGCACTACTACACAATTTGTTAAAAAAGAAAGAAAGGTATTTAGCATCACGACGGAACAACTTTTACAGGCCAACAACGACAACATGCTGCAACCACCAGAACTGGTATCACAACTCATAGGGAAAATCAAAAGATTTACTCTCAAATTAAGTAGTTACAACATCGAGCAATCGTCAAGCACATACACCATCACAAAAGTCACAGAACCTGATTCACAAAGCATTCAAACATTTGAGGACATTTCTGCAAAGGTACAACTTCTATGTCTTTTTTCCAAGCCATTTCCATCAACATGCTAATAAATTTGCAATGCATAAAACAAACAGGACAAAACTTGAAATTCAACATGTTTGACCGACCCATGCCAAATTCTAATTATTCTTTACTTTTAAACTTTCTATTTGAAAATAAAAAATAGTGAAAGAAAAGAGACGACTACAATTCGCCATTTGCACATCACTTATTTGGGAATAAAACCATATAAATTCAAAAGGAACTGAAAATGTTTAGGATCGTTTTAATGTTTAAAATAACCAAATAAATCTTTATGTTTAGTTTTTTACTAACAATACCAAACGATTCCCTATAAAATACACTATAATTTGATCATTATGATGTCAAATAATTATAAAATATATATTTGAAATGATAAAAATTGGACTAATTGGGTTGGTCGAGGTTGAACCATTGAATAACTTTAAAATACATTATATTTTAGCCACTAAGATATAAAATAATAGCATATATATATTATGTCAGAGAAAATAGCTTGTTTTAGAATGGCAAACCAATGATGTTCATTTGTTTTACTTGATGACCAAATCCCATGTAGGTCAGGCTCATTCAACTCTTTTGTTTTATGGTTAGCGGTTAGCCCATTAGATACCATGCATTAGTTTATTGTTAAATTTTTTATTTTTAATAATAAAAAGGAGTATTATTTTTGCCTTTTCATATATATTTTATCACCACGGAGAAATAAAAGGGTATAAAGAAAAAAATTGACACTCCTGGACCCGTTTAAATCCACATGTGTACGGTAAGTTGGCCCGTTCCACAGAGGAAAGAGAAAAAAATTGACACTCCCTATTCCACCATTCCTACAAACGCTCCTGGCATAGGAAATTTGAAATAGGGGAAGAGTTTTTCCCACCCTGCTATTATATGTTTTTAATTTAAAAAGATACAACAAATGTATTTAGTGTGATTGGTTATGATCTTTGCCTTTCTTTAAAATGGTCATGGTTCAAATCCCAGTATGTATCTTTTTAATGAATAAAAAAAAGTAATTGTGAAGACCAAAATGTCCTTCCTACTTTCACTCTCATTGCAGGAAATTTGAAATGAGGCTCCCGTTTTCCCCTTCGGTGTATTATATTATGTGTAGATAGCCATTAATCCAACTCGATCGATGCTGTTGGCAGTTACTAATCTTCAAAACATGAGGAGGGTAAAGTTACGGGTGCGGATAGTATAACAACACCCTTAGTGTGTTGTTATACTAACAACATGATTCATTAAGGGTATAAGGGTAAATTTATCTAAAATCTAATAAAATAAAAATTAAATTATATTTAGCCTACCCACCCCGTCCTCTTCACACTCTCGTTGGATCTCAGTTCTTCTTCGATCTTCCCACTCTCCTCGGCCCCCAACGCAACAGCTCCACCGCCCACCTCCACCGCGTCCAACGAGATTACGGACATCATCACCAACTGAGGAGTTACCGAGCGACGACGGAGATTCCGGAGCAGATGCGGCGGCGTTGGATGCCATTGATGTCGCTGAATTTGGGAGAGAAGGGGGATGGGAGCAGCGCGGTGGCAATTTCTCAGGTCAAGCGAGAGGTGGCGGTGTTGGACGCACTGTTTTGGGTTTGTGGACTTCGAATCAGCTAGCTCCATGGAGAAAGCCCTTGAGGGTTTTTTCTCATTTAGTGAATCTGGACAGGTTTTTGCATTTGGGGGGGGGGGGGGGGGGGATGGGGAAAAAGAAACAATGAAGGCCGCTAGGCTAGCTTTCCCTAAACAATGAGCGCCATCGGATTCCGGTTGTTCGCCTGTTCCCGTGACGGAACTGTCGGAAATTCGGATTCTACCGCTGCTAGAGGGTACGTGAACGGAAGCAGCAGAAGGCTCCGCAACCATGGCGGCACCGGCTGCAGACGACTTCATTGAGGCTCCTATGTTGCCTCGCTGCAGTTCGTATCTCTCAAATTCCTAGAGATTCGCAACAATGGTGGTACCAGCTGCGGCCTGTGTTGTGGAAATTCATTCCAAGGCTTTCCGCGGACTAATGGTCTATGCTTCAATTGCTTTTCTTCCTCTCTATCTCGTTTCTTTCTTTCATTAGTACTCCAATTGAATTTGTTTTTTCTAATGACAATTTGAATGGACAGTGAAGAGAATCATTGATCCTGGGAAAGCTATTTTCAAGTTTTAAGTTGATATTTGTGGTCTATCTATTGAGATGTGTTGTTTAATTTTGCTAATTATAGAGTGTACTTGTGGTCATATGTAGTTTGGTGTCATTGTGTCAAATGGGGTTGTAGCCTTGTAATAATTTTGTATTTATTTGTTAGTTATCAGCACCATAAACCGCCTAATATAAATTATAAACGCAATAAAAACAACTACAAAATGCATATCAGAAACCTCATAATGCAAACCAAAAATCCCCTAAAACATACCAGAAACCCCATAATGCACACCACAAATATTCCGAAAGCACACCACAAACCCCCTAATGCAAACCACAAACACGGTAAAGCAAACCAAAAACGTCCTAATGCAGACCACAAATATATTAAAACAAACCAGAAACCTCGCAAAGCAAACCACAAAAGTTTCGAAAGCACACTAGAAACTTCTTAATGCAAACCAGAAACCTCCTAATGCAAACCACAAATCTCCTAAAACAAACCACAAACCTCTCAAAGCAAACCACAACATTTGCGAAAGCACACCAGAAACCTCCTAATGCAAACCACAAACACAGTAAATCAAACCACAAAAAAGCAAACAATAAACGTCCTAATGCAAACCGCAAATATATTAAAACAAACCAGAAACCTCACAATGCAAACCACAAAGTTTTTGAAAGCAAACCAGAAACTTGTCAATGCAAACCACAAACACGATAAAGCAAACCAGAAACTTCTTAATGCAAACCACAAACACGATAAAGCAAACCACAAAAGGCATACGAAAATATGAGAAACCAAACCATAAATATCACAATGTAGACCATACATCCGGTCTTCGTTGACCGTTGACCCGGTCAACGAAGACCGTTGACCGGTCAACGAACTGTATGGTCTTCGTTGACCGTTGACCCGGTCAACGAAGACCGTTGACCGGTCAACGAAGTTCGTTGACCGAACTCCGGTGACCGTCAGTGAGCAGATTCCGACGCCGATAGGCATATTCCGGCCCCGATGACTAGATTCCGACGCCGGTAAGCATATTCCGACACCGGTAAGCATATTCCGGCGACAAAAGGCATATTCCGGCGACCGGCGACCACTTTCCGGCGACCGATGGCCGAATTCCGGCGACCAAATTTTTGGGCAGAAAATAAAAAATATGTTTTTTTATTTTTTTTATTATTTAAACAGATTTTTCATAATAACAATTATACCCCTGCTTTGATTTTACACTAGGTCAACTCATCTAATAAAAAGTCATCACAATCCTAGCTTTCTATTGGTTGGAGACTAGTGTTGTTACAATAACAACACAAGGGGTGTTGTTATAGTAACCGGTCCCTAAAATTACTACCTCATAATATAAAATTTTTATTGATAATTGTAATACTTTAGTCATATTCTACATTGACAAATCACGGGAAAGATCAATGATTCATAGATAAGATACCGATCTTAACTAAAAAGATACGTTTTGGGGTGAAATGAAAGAGCTCTTTTAAGAACTGCGAAGTTAAACGTGCTCATGGTGGTGCAATGCAAGAATGAATGACTTCTCGAGAAGTCACCTCGTTAATATACTTCCAAGACAAAACTATGAGAATCTAAACTCAAAACTAGCAATATCTTGTTTGAATTTTTTTTAGATGTTCAAATAATTATATCTTCAATAGAAAATATATTTGATTGTCTCTGCCTCTTTATTTTGTAGTTTAGAATGGTTTGATCTAGTCTAGATCATGATTAACCGCAAAGACTATGAGTCCAAAACCAATGTAGCAGCCAACATTACCCCGCTCTCACCCCACCCACTCCACCCCAACCCAACTTACTCTCGTCTCTTAACTCACATTTAACCCAATTGCCTCAAATTGCAAGGAAACCAATCCTAGCTCCCCTCCTTGTTGTACGATTATGGAAAGAGAAATCAGAATAGCAAATCCTTTGTCAAAGATTATTAATGATTCCGAAATTAAGGATGCCAGAATTTGAAGCTTCCATTTCCAACAGTTTGGAAAGGAAAGTCCCACATGAAGGCTCGATTACAACTGTTGAATTGTAATTCCTTCCTTGTGCAGAATGGCAGTAACAGCTATGTGTTCAAGCTATATATATTCCTCTTGTTGTTCATTGTGGGAAGCCTTGTAACGAGAAGCGGTATAGGGCTTGGATTTACAAAGGGGGTTAACAGTGATAGAGGTAGAGGTTTTATCACGTTAACGGCTGAAACAGGTTTGGATTTGGGATCCAGGGTTTTCTATCTTTTTGCTCTTGTCATTTCAACTTCTTGAGACTGTATCTTTCATTTATCTTTGTTTGATTGCTTGATAGAAAAAATCATAATAAAAAGAGTATCCTAGAAATCAATAGTTACTGATTCCAGGACGAGAACTGACCATTAGATTGAGAACCTCGTTAAAATTTGTAGTGTTCTTTCTCCTTCATTGCTCGCTTTCTTTTCTATTTCTCTGCTATCATATTGCTCTATTTTTTCTGGGTTCTTGACGAAGAGCATGAAAAGGAGCGTGGATGAAGAAGATGAAGAAGCTCCAAAGCTAGTTGTTGACAAAGGAAAGAATGCTGCTGATCTGGAAGAAAGAATGACAGAAGCAGAGAAGAATGAACATGATGTGGCCATGGACAAAAAGAGAAGCAACACACCGTTTTACATAGTGCAACGACAGCCTTCAAGTTTAGACAGGTGTACAAAGTTGATAGGCTAGTTAGAAAGTTAGTTTAACGGCTAATTGTAAATGTTAGTTTACAGGATGTATATAAGCTTCTCTCAATGGAAAAGCTCACTATGATCAATTTTCCTCAATTCGTTTTCTGCCAAATTCCTCTCAATCTCTAAATCTTCTCATGGTATCAGAGTGCTGCTCATCGCGCTAAGATCCACTTTTCTACGATCGACGTTTTCTTCTACACTTTCTTTCTTTTCTCTGATATTCATCTACATCATCAATGGAAGGTCAAGACGCCTCATCGGAAGCTTCACCCAACACTGAATCCATATATGAATCTTCTGCAAAATACAAAGCTATTGTATCCCAGTATGAAGATCCTTACCTCAATCCCTACTACCTACCTCCTCAAGATGGAGCTCTACCCACAATCATTTCTATTAAGCTTGTCGATGACAACTATCACACCTGGAGTGAGGTCATGCTACTGGCCCTGGAGACGAAGAACAAATCTCAGTTCATCGATGGTCGCATACCTATTCCCCAGGTAACTAATGCTCATTACCAATCTTGGGCTAGATGCAATGGAACCATTCGATGCTGGATCTATAATTCGTTGTCAGATGACATAGCAAATAGTGTGATGAGAATAGGGTTAGCTAAAGATGTATGGGATAACTTGAAGAACCGTTTTAGCCAGGAGGACAACATTCGAGTTTATGATCTCAAAGATCAATTGGAAAAATGTGTTCAAGGTGATGATTCTGTGAGTCAATACTTCACTAATCTCACAGTCATTTGGGAATAGTTCAAGAGATACAGACCCATCCATGTGTGTGTGTGTCCTTATGTGCCTAGTCCTTATGAAACCCTAAAGAGATATCAGACAATGATTTTGTCAACAAATTTCTCCAAGGGTTGAACCCCTCTTACCAATCAGCATGGACTCAAGTCTTAATGTTGCCTGGTTTGCCCCATGTTGAAAAAGTCTTCAAGCAGATTTTACAATTGGAACGACAATTGAAGGTCCTTAAAAAGGTTCCCAGTGTTGATTCTCTTGCCTTAGCTGCGGGAACACCAAACAATAACCAGCTTAAGGGAAGAGGATAACAACAACAAGCTCAGAATGGTAAGAAGATTTGCAATTATTGCAAGAAGGAGGTCCAAGTGATCAAGGACGGCTACATACTGAAAAACAAGAAGGCCAGAGAGGCAGAAGCTGGTTTTGCTTGATCAGTGGAGAGTTCCATTCCTTATGAGAACTCCACTGCCTCTTCTGACAACCGAATGAGTCTTGAGAGCATTTTCACTCATGAACAGATGAAGAAATTGAAGCTAATGCTCTTCAAATCACCATCTCCTTCTCCATCTTCTCCTACTTCTCCATCACTGCATACTGCTAATGCAGTTACTCGTTCTATTCCAGTCAACAAGCAACCTCCACAATTGGCTTACATGCCTTCCAGTTCAGGTACTACAACACTCTCAGCTCTAATTGCATCTTCTGGTGAACCATTATGGATTTTGGATACTGGGGCTACAGACCATATCATTTGTAGTTCTAAGTTTTACAGCAAGTATAAGGTTCTTACTGGTATTTATGTTACTCTACCTACTAGTGAACAAGTAAAGGCCACACATATAGGTGTAGTTAAACTTTCTTGTGGCTTGTTTCTTTCACAAGTCCTGTTAGTACCCACTTTTAGCTATAATCTTATTTCAATCAACAAATTAACCAAACAAAATCCTGTCTCACTTACCTTTCAATCCTCTGCCTGTGTCATTCAGGACCATATTACACAGAAGAGGATTGGTTTAGCCCAAGTGGATAGAGGACTTTACCTTTTCACCAAGACACCATCTTCCACTTCATCACCTCAGTACCTTGCAACCACTTCTCACAATTTCCAGACCCAAAAATTTGATCTCTAGCATGCCAGATTAGGACATCCACATGTCTTTAGATTACAAGCTATTCATAAAGTTTTCCTTGATGTAATAGCTTCTCCACACACTCACTATGAAGTTTGTCACTTAGCTAAACAATAGAGGCTTCCATTTCCTTCTAGTTCTTCTATTAGTCCTGTTATTTTTGGATTAATACATGTTGATATTTGGGGTCCATTGAACACAGTTTCTTACAATGGCTACATTTATTTTTTTAATCTTGGTCGATGACCATTCTAGATGTGTGTGGACCTATCTTATGAGATCTAAGGATGAGGCCAGACCTCTCCTTCAATCCTTTTGTTTCATGGTCAAGTCTCAGTTTAGCACAAATGTCAAAATCATCAGGACTGACCAAGGACAGGAGTTTCATATGAATGATTTTTAAAACATAGAAGGGATTATTCATCAAATGAGTGTTTTTTATACTTTACAGTTTCTTACAATGGCTACAGTTATTTTTTTAATCTTGGTCGATGACCATTCTAGTTGTGTGTGGACCTATCTTATGAGATCTAAGGATGAGGCCAGACCTCTCCTTCAATCCTTCTGTTTCATGGTCAAGTCTCAGTTTAGCACAAATGTCAAAATCATCAGGACTGACCAAGGACAGGAGTTTCATATGAATGATTTTTATAACATAGAGGGTTGAAAGAAAACATCAACACCTACTTAATATTGCTAGAGCACTAAAGTACCAATCAGGTCTCCCTCTATTGTACTGGATTGATTTCATCCTTCATGCAACATACCTGATCAATAAAACACCTACTCCTATTCTGCAAAACAAAACACCTTTTGAGGTCCTTCATCAACTGCCTCCTGATTATACCAGTTTGAAGGTTTTTGGTTGTTTGGCTTGTCTAGCCACAACAGGGCAACCCAGAACCAAATTTGATCCTCGAGCCAAACAATGCATTTTCCTTGGTATACCAACAAACATCAAAGGTTTTAAACTATTGAATCTTGATGCTAAACAGGTCTTTGTTTCTCGAGATGTGATCTTTTATGAACACATCCTCCCTTACAAACAATCTGCTCCTCCTTCTCCGCCTACAAATCCTACCATTCCACCAATATTTTCTGAACTTTCTCCCTCATATGCACAGTCACCCATTTTTCCTCCCAATCCTGTGACTTCCTTTCCTCATCAGTCTGAAGAGGACACTCCTACTCCCTCTAGTTTACATCCTGATGAGTCTTATGAAGTCACTTCTCCTACTGGGTCTGATGCATCCCTTCCTTTTATGCTATCCCCATCTTCATCTAAAACTCCTTCTTCCACATACACTTTTTCACCCTGTCCTTCTCCTCATGAAGATCCACATGCTCCTCTTAGAAAATCAATGAGAGAATAAAAAATCCCTTCATGGCATTATGATTATGATATGCTGTATCCTCAGAGTAAGAGTATCTCTTACTCCCACTTGCAACCTAAACTTCAGAAGTTTGTTAATTCATTGATCACTCACATGGAACCAAGTACCTACACTGAAGCTTCAGAACACCGTGAGTGGAATGAAGCTATAAGAGAAGAACTGCAAGCACTTTTTGACAATGGTACTTGGGAAATCACAGATTTTCCAGCTGATAAGAATGAAATAAAGTGAAAGTGGGTATTTAGATTGAAGTTGAAATTTGATGGCACAGTTGACAGGTA